TATACTAACTGCAATTTTTTTGGCCTTGCCAAGGCCTAGTGGGATGATGGGGGAGGGTCGTGGCATATTAGATCTGGAGATGGCAGATTATGTATTAACAGGGTCCAGGTCGAAGCTTCAGGCGGTTTTTACAGAGTGAGGGATTAAGGAAGAGAGAGAGGGAGGGAGATATAGTCCTACTATTGATGGATGATGATTGCTGCTCGCTGGGTGGGGGAGGGGAAACGGGGCGTTGACAGCTGTCAGTCAACCTTGGACTCTCCATGTTAGACGAGGCTAGCTGTCAATGTGGCATTTACACTCTGAGGGTCAAACTTTGGCCTTAATCTGGGTTGACAGTCAAAGGTTGTTTTTGTTATGCTTCTGCCCCGAGAGTGGCTTACTAATGCCACAACCTTGAAAAATGCAGAACTTGGATTAAACTCGGGTATTTCCAAAGCAACTATGGATAGACATAAACATTATCGTTATTGTACTTTTTGACATTTACAGCCTCAGCCGTTTCAATCTGTGGAAACTACTGTTGATTTTTTTGCAGTTATAATTGCATACAAAGTGTCTGGCAGTTTACATTCATCCAATGCTTTGATGCATATGAAACTCTTATGGTTTAATAATTTGTACAAAGATCAAACTGTCTCTCATACGTGGTTGTTTGATTCAAAGATATAAGTTTGTGTACATCAAAATGCAAGGAGTGTTTTATTTAATCGAGTCATATTCAGAAACTGGGTCAATTTGGATCAATTGAGCGATGATGTTGCAGGATTTTGTTGGCTGAGGCTCATGGGTGTTGTAGTTTTTAGAGCAAAACCAATTTAGTGGTAAAAATGTGATTTCACTGAATAATTAAAGCTGATTGCCATAACATAAACCTGTCGTTTAAATATGAAGGATACAGCTGTGCTTGATGTTGAGAAACATTTAGGATGTCATAACCAGAACAATTCAAAATCCTCCGACATCACACACTCTATGCAGCCTGTGTGTAGAACCATATGAGCGTTGCTTGTAGTGTGTGTATGCATGTGCAAACTGCTGTTAACAGGTGAAGTGTGTGTGGCACAGTGCAGAGTTAATCTCCCCACCAGATGTTCCACTTAATATCAGGCACTGATTTCCTTCCCTCATGGGGACATACCTTTCTTGGTAATACTCTGCCAGGACTAGATAAACAACTCTTGAGTAATATGTTGTTCTTCTTCTCTTTGTGTAAATTGATCCCAGTTTCTCTTTGTCCCCCTTCCCTTTGCAAATTAATTGTTTTTTGGAAATGATTTGGCTATGACCCTCATGAGACCAGTGAGTGGGGGGAATATGTAAACGTCATACCCAGCTCAGCAAATTCAGTCATGACTGTGGTTGTGGGTTTCAGCCCGTCTGCACGAAACACAAGGGAAACGAGGAAAGTGAAGACGGGCCGAACAGAGAAAAAGATTGAGCAAAAAAGGGCAAGGACTGGAGTTAAATACACAGAGAGATGCTTTAGATAAGATACTGTGGAAGTGACTGCTGTTTCTGTTTGTGTCTCGATGTAGTTGTGTGTACAGAATACAATAAATAAACTGTATGGGTGCCATGACGAGAAACTGGACCTTGAAAGGTAAAGCCTGATCATGGAGCTGAAAAAGCTCTTTCTGGCCAGTTTGCTGCATCCTTTCAGACTTGAAATTCAGGTTATGCGAGCAGAAGCAAAGAAAGACAGACACAACAGGTCACATGCTCAACATTTGTAGCTCAAAAAAGAAGGGGAAAAAAAGCAACGGAACGAGAGGCTTAGAGAACCTGACTCCAACTTTCCTCGTAGACTCTACTACCTTCTTCCCTACCCCTTCCTTCCTTCCTTTCCTCCTACTTCCTTCTTCTCTTCTATGTGCCAACTGGGGAGTCACCCTGAATTATTCATTTTTGAGCAAATGAAATCTTCACGGGTGTTAAACCAGAGTGAAGACGAAACAGAGCTGACCATGTTCTCTGTGTGCAGCGTGTGTGTGGTTGTGTGGTTGTGTGTGTGACCAGGCGTTGCAGAACATGACACTTTGCTTGGCTGTGTTTTAACAAAAGCGTGGTGGGGATATGTTTAGAGGTGCAGATGAATCTCATTTGCACCCTAGGAAAATATTATACATTTCTCAGTAGGCATGTCAGTGGTGTTCAGGATCACACAGGGCTGTAAATGGGATTATGTTTCGCAGTGTTTCTGGTCCCATTCAGGCAGCAGGATTTGTGTGTGTGTGTGTGTGTGTGTGTGTCTACATGTGTGTGAGCAGCCATCACCGCATATTTGATCCAACATTTATATTTTGTTTTTTCAGATATTTTGCCAAAATACACATTTCTGAGAAAGCTGAACTTAAGGCAGCCAGTTAGCGGATGAGTCAATATCTGTGTGTGGGGGTGTGTGTGTATGTGTGCGCGCATATTTGCCCATGTATTTGTTCACTGTTTCATTTTTCATGGATGCCTGTTCACACCCTATTTGTCTAAGCCTGCAGCATACATAAGGGGGTGTAATAAGCATCGCCTTCCCCCATTCAACCCCCCCCCATCCACACACACACACACACACACACACACACACACACACACACACACACACACACACACACACACCCTTTATATCTCTTTCTCTCTATAATCAGGCCAGTTGGCCCAAGCCACAGAGAAAGAGAAAGGTGGAGGAGGAGAGTGATGATGGTGTTGGAGAGGTGGAGCGATGCACAGACGGGGAATGAATGGGAGAACAAGAATTTATGTGCTGCGATCGCCTCCCTTTTTAAAAAGAGAAAACAAAAAAAAAACCTCAACATCTGTTGTCCACCTGCAGCTGTGCCATCTCTGTGTCTCCCTCGTTGTTGTTTTTCTCACTGCCCCTCTTCTCCTTTCACCGTCATTCGTTCTTCAATCGTTTGGCAGCAGCTCATCATGTAGATCACAGGAGGCAGATGGGCTGGTGAATTCTAGAGGTCAAATTATACTTTAAACCCTTTCTCCCTCAAGCGATTTCTTTTCATGAATGAGTCTATTTGACTCCAGGCCTGGTTTGTGGGTTCTGGTTACATGGTGTAACCAAACCTCCTCAATGAGCCCTTTCAACTCACTACACTCCTGTTCAACTTACAGTAAATACAGGCAGTACATTCACAATACGCACAGTACGTACAATACTGCAGAATACTGTAAGTGAAAGCTTTGGTTCTGTTGATTCATCTATTGATTCGCTTTTTAACTAATTGTATAAAAGTGTAGAAGTGTATGAAGGAAATGCAATTGGTTTATCTTTACCGCTCCTTAAACTTGGACGGGACCTTTAAACCTGAAATAAGAAAAAGTTACCTTAAAGGTGGGGTAGGTACGTTTGAGAAACCGGCTCGAGATACACTTTTTCTTATATTCCATGGAATGCTCTTAACATCCCGATAGCAATGAATATCTTAAGTGCTTTGACAAAAAATCCATAAAAAAATGTCATCTGTGGAAGCTGTAATAGTGTAAAAAGCACGACCAATTATTTTAGCCGGCCCGGCTAAAATAACTGGATGGCCTACCTGCCTGTCAGCCTTCCATCTGTGCACAAACTTATCTCGTGCCCTCATTGGTCATGTGCACGTTCGTGTGTGTTGGAGGAGGGGCTCTGTAAGGAAGTGGCAGATTTTTTCCGGCTGTGTATTTTCAAATTCTAGCGCACTCGAGCTGGTTTCTCCAAAATGACCTACCCCACCTTTAAATGCAGCCTATCAACATTCATGCACTGTAATATCTGATCTATAGTATCTGCAAATTCTGTTTATGTAATATCTTTCATGCACTAATAGCAAGAATTGCATGTTACTAGCCAACTAACTGATGATTTTCATTATTGATTAATCTACTGATTACATTTTTGCTTAAGTAATCAAGTATTTGGTCTATGAAATCTGAAAACTGTGAAAAATGTGGATTTCAAAACCCCCCGCTTAAATGTTTATTTTATCCAATCAACAGTCCAAACGCTAAAGTATTCTCTGTACTATGATGCAACTCTATGAAACAAGCAAATATTTACATTTAAAAGAAAATCATAATGTTTTATGTCAATTATGAAATACTAGTTGCACTATTGAACTGTACCTGTTGGCAGAGAGCATGTTTACTCTTACGCGGTGTTGTGTCTACGTGTGTTGACCTGGAAGCTCTTCTTAACCCTCATTACCAAAATCCTTTTCAAGGCGTCTGACAGAGACAAAGTGTCAGGCTGCCCTCTCAGAGTAGTAAACATGCTAATCTGTTACACTGTGCTTTAGTTTGACTATCAGATCAATACCACACTTCCTGATTGTTACCCTAAGTTCACATTTGGGAATTGATTGTGCTTGAGTCACACAATCTGAGACACACTTCATGCTTGTTCTCAGTAGCAGGTGTGTGGAAATATTTGTAGACATCAGAAATAATTGATCAACTGCAGGATTTTCTATTAAAAGGACTTTTCACTGAATTTGTGTGCTCCACTTAAAGATTGAGTTGTGTCTGCATGTCATTCCTCCGGTGTGGTTTCGTGAACACCTCCATGCCTCCTTTTATGAAGAAGTCATCACCTGTGTCTCTGGATTTGCTCGCACGTCCTGATCCTTTGTGCAAGCACGACAAGTATCGAGGCGAATGCTTTGTCGAAGCCTAGAAATGTGGCACTCAATGGCTCGTTGAACTGCAAAACCAATCAAAGTCGTGTTAAAGAGCGAGGATACAAATCACACACTTAGATCGTGAGGGAGAGTTTGTGAGCAAGAGGGAGAAGTGAGACTGAGAAGAAGGGGGGGGGGGGGGGGGGGCTGGCACTCTTATAGGACCGTGAAGGCCAGATCACAAATAATAAAACAGAAAGGCAGGCAGGGAAGGGAGGGAGGGAAGGAAGGAGGGGAGGGGAGGGGGAAAAAAGAGAGAAGGAAAATATGTTGAGGGAAAGGGGAAGGTCGGAGAGAATGGAAGTCGAACGTGTGCCAGTAGCGCTGCACCTCTCGCTGTGACTGGTGCTCTTCGAGGATTTTTTCCCCCCGTCTCTTTTATTTACCTCCCTCTTTTCTTTTCTCCCGCATAGCTGTGGCACCGGCTTGTTTTCTCTGTCTTTTTTTTCTCGCCTTTTGCCATTTTTCTCCCCCCACCCCTTCCTCTCTCTCTCTCTCTCTCTCTCTCTCTCTCTCTCTCTCTCTCTCTCTCTCTCTCTCTCTCTCTCTCTCTCTCTCTCTCTCACTCTGTCTCTCTGTGACTCGCAACAAAAGGCTGACGGAGTGAGCCTGACGTCTGAATGAATAGCCCAAACCTGCCGTGAAGGGAAGAGAAGAGAGAGACGGAGCGAGAGAGAAGCGGCTGACGAAAAAAAGGAAAAGATACAAGTGATCTGACTGAAGAGGCGGAAGGAGGAGGACGCTCTGAAGTGCCGATCTCCGGCTGAAGACGAATAGAGATCCAATTTTTCCTCCCCCCCCCCTCATTGGAGATTAAAGGAGTTGACGGCGCTGCTTTAGCCACACAGGGGGTTTACGATCATAGTTCTCTCCCCGCGCCCACTTCCCTCCTGTGCCACCTTCCATTTTTTTCTTTCAACTCAAGAGTACCAGTCGTCTGAGAAAGAGAAATGGAGCTTCTGGGAGTGAGGTGATGAAGGAGGACAGATTTGGAAACAAGCAGTGGGAGAGCAAGAGAAGACAGACAGAGAGAGGGAGGTGAGAGGAGGAGGTAGAGAGGAGAGGATAACCCCGGGCATACTGTGTGAGAATACCCCCCCCCCCCCCCATCCCACTTCTTTTCTATTTTTTTTTGTCCCTCCACCACATTTCCTCTGCCATGTGCAGCTCCTGATTTGAAGAATGTGGAGACAGCATTTCCCAGGCAAGAAGCATGTTTCACATTGTGTAGTGTGTGTGTGTGTGTGCGTGTAATGGCGAGAGGTGGGGGAGGAGGGAGATGGGTTTGGCTTTAAGGCTAATGAGCCTCTTATGTTTTTGCAATGAAGTGTGTCATGAAATCAGTGTGTGTGTGTGTGTGCATGAGGGCAACATCAGTGTGTGAGTGTTTCCTCGGTTTGAAACCACAGACCTCTGCACTGCAGCGAGAGGAGGCGAGATTAGACGGGCTGTCATTTAAAGGGTCAAAGGTCACAGAAGAATGGGCATCAGAGTGGCTCTGTGTGAGAGTGTTAATGGGCGCTCCTGTGTGTGAACGCTGTCCGTCACAGGGTGCGTATTCAGGCGTGCACTTTGAAAATAATGATGTATGTCAACTGAGGCTTTTTTTAGATATATCAGATTTATCCGGGGTCATTTTGATGCTTTTTAAAAATTGAAATAATGTAAAAATAATCAGTAATTTCCTGTTGAAAATTATATAAAAAATCGGATTTCAACAATCATAGCGGGGCTCAAATTGGCAGTTGATTTGCAATTTCTCCTCATTTTTCTCAGCTTTGTCCAAATCGCAAAGAATACCATATTAACTATCAACTTAAACTAATCAGTAATGTCAGCCATTAATATCTTTTGCATAGGCACAAAAAAACCTGCTGATAATGTTGGTTTGTATGTAATTGTTCCTGACCTGCACACACTAGTTTGTGTGTGTGTTTGCATGTGAAGTAAAGCTCGAGTGCACTGTCCGCTGTTCATCAGCACTGACAGCTGCTTTTGTCTCAGGACCCCGGTTGTTTTCAGGCCTTGCTAGCGAAGCACAAAAGAAAACATTTAAAGAGGAGATGCTGATTGATGGATGCTCCTCTCTCTCACTTTGTGTTGTATTTACCGCTGACACCACCTGTGATATCTTTATCTCAATGAATGTTTCCCCCCTTTCTTCCTCCTCTCTCCTTATCCACTTTTACATGTAATTTCATCCTTCCCTCCTCTCTCATCCTTTTATCTCACCCCACCCTCGCCCCTCTTGGCTGGGCGTTGGGTGGTGATAAGTTTGGAGGAGGGCAGGCGGAGGGAGGACAAACAAAGTCTTTGTGTGTCCACATAGTGGAACAAGAAACAGGCTGCGGTGGCGGCGGTGTAGCCGGGCGCTGATAGGGTCCGGTGGGGGCCTGGAGGAGGCAAGTCTGCCAAAAAAAAGATTACACCTCCCTTCTTTTTTCTACAGATGCCAAGGGATCGTAAACACACTAAGAAAGTAGACACTCCCAAGAATACAGGCGCCGGTTTCTTGTTAGGTTGTATGCACAGTTAAAGAGCGCAACATTGCTGTTTTTTATTGTAAGTAGCATGCAGGTCGACATGCACTACAGAACAGAAGGAGAGTAGAAGGGAGAATTGAGAGCTGTGAATGCCCTTGAACATTTTATCCAACAAAATGACATCCCGGATTATCACTGGTCATTTATGGTTATCATCTGTGGGTGGGTGTGAAGCTAAGTGCAGCCAAACTCATTGTCAGTGTGTGTGTGTGTGTGTGTGTGTGTGTGTGTGTGTGTGCACAGTACCACAGCGAGCACGTTGGTATTCCTGAAGTCTCCTAGAGAAATGGTGCAGAGAAACACCGATCGTGCCACTTCACGCTCTGTGTTTGGGTTGCCAGGTTGTGTGGCCTGAGGCACGTTGCCTTTTGGGGGCAAGATTCAATATCATGAAATCAAGCTTTTCCTGTCACTGCTGCACTTGCCACAAAGAGAGCCCACTGGGTTATCGTCTGGGCCCCCTCCCTCTTCTCACCCCTCGGACTATCCCATCACTGAGGCCCCCAGCTTGGGAGTTGCTAGGTAACCAGAACCAGCTGTTGGTCCTAAGCCCGTTTAGCCCGTTTTGGCTCGGCGTCAACTGCGGAGTAGTTTTCTCTAAAAGCTCGCTGTGAACTCAGCGACCGCCGCTGTGGCCCTGACATCATCGTGCCATGGAAAAATCGTCCTCACTTCCTTTTGTTTTTACAGTTGTATTGTTCCATTGATGCGGGGCCGATGTAGGAGCATCCACATAGTATCCCACCAGTTTGAGCATTTCATCACCTTTTAAACTATGAGGAAGGAAATGGGAAATGGAGGGAAAGGAATGAGATGGTGAGTGGCGAGGGTTTCCTAGAGAGATTCACCTGTAATATTGAACCAAGTAAAAAAGACATTTTTAAACTGCTGTGTAGCTCCTGTGTGAGATGAGGATACTAAACTGTCTCAGAAGGCTATTAAGAGATATTTGAGATGGCACCGAACAACGTGTTATTATTCAGGAAATCACAACAGAGCAGGTAAGTTAATACCACTCTGCAGTCCCTCAAGTGGACAATTTAGCTTTCAAAATGTGGGATGAACTCACAAACAAACCACAAGTAAATGTATTGGGAGTGCATTAACTTCCAAATGAAACAGTCTTTTTTACCCAGCCGAGGCGTGTTGGAGATCCATGAAACCACAAAACCAGAGCGCACCATCTGTCAGAAAATGGAGCTTTAGAAACGGAGATAATTGATGTTATTAAATAACTATTTAAAGATTGGTTTTCAAACCATAGAGGAGAAATACAGGTTTGAGCCGTTGTTTATTTTCTTTCATTGATTGTTTGCGCTCTATTTAGGAAATGATCCTTCTCCCTCTGAAAAACTCTGACTCACAGCTCCTGGCAGCGAAGCTTTTCTGAGCTGCTTTTCCAAGATCTCTCCTTCCAAACGAGAGAATTAGACACAAGATGGTATTCACAAAGGAGAGGACGTATTTCGATGAGCTTTTTTTCCTCTCAAGCGTTTGAAAAGATGACTTTTCTATTTCTGTTGTCAGAATCCAAAATGGCTTTTTAGTTGGAACATCTGTAATCCATTTGTGGTTTAAACAGTACGCTCTTGCCAGCTCTGCCAAAAGTTTTCATACTTCCTGGAGAATTGTTCAGTTTGTGATTAGCATGGGCTAAAGGATGATATCAGTCTTAGTCCATTCAAGCTTCCCTTGAGGGATACAACAACACATGACCTCCACTGATAAGACTATCTGCTGTCACACCAAACATGGTTTAGATTTACTTAGTCAAGCTGTGGGCTTTGTTTCTTCATGACTTGCTGGCCTGCAAACAATGCTGGCTGTTGTGCTGCAATGATTAATACTTTGGGTACAATAACAGGAAATTGACACAAGCTATTTGCATTTTTATCCGAATGAGTACCAGCCAAAATATCTCAGCGCCTAATGTAAACCATCTTAGTGATGTTGTTTCTACTGCTCATAGTTTACGTAACAGCAAATAGGCACTTTAATATCGACTCCGGTATGCATTTTTCCCTCCCGACTGAAACTGAGTCTGGTATTTTGTCTGGTGTTGGGTGGGACTCTGTGTTTGGACAAGAAGCGTTCTGGCTTTGCTTTCATTTCATAAAGTCCAGGTTCTGGAGCTGGCAGCCGGGCGGGGCGGCTGGCAAGCTGCTGGAGGGAGAAAATAAAAAGATGGATGGAGGGAGGAAGGAAGAGAGAGTTGAATCTAAACAGAGAGAAAGTGGCAGGACACCAGTTAAGTTTAAAAAAAAGAGCCAGATGCAATCATTGCTTCATTCTTTAGCAGCTGGACCTCTGGTCTACAAGTGCTGGCATGAGCGCAGCTGCTGTGTGACGGTGGGGGAGGTGGGAGCCACCCTAGGGTGATTATTGGGATCAGACTCTTGTGTGTTCTCACTTTTTGGCATTATTTGCCAGTTAAGAAATCCAGAACTGAGAAGATGTCTGTTGGGAGTCATTGTTTGGTTTCTTATGATTTCACGATCTCTTGTTGCTAATAACTATTACATGATCTCAACGTAACCCAAATCGTCTTTGCCTAATCTTAAGATAAAAATGTGCCTTAGTTATTCGACTTAAATCAACAGACAAAAAGGTAACCATAGCTAGTTTTCTTACTGCTTTCATTCGACATCTATAGATGAGTGTTGTTACAGTCGTCTGCAGCTGCAATGTAATCCTGTGTGTCTGTGATATTCCCCGATGACCCATAATGTCAGTGAGGTAATCAACCCATAGTTTACGACTGTTCTAACCAAATAAGGCCTTCAGTAGGGCAGTGTGATATTTTAATGATACTAACAGAACTGAAAATGTGTGTGTGGTCAGTTCACAACCATAGTAATTCTGCCAACCAATACAATTATGAGTTATTCACCGCATCCGATGTTTTTGTTTACTCTTGCCATATTGTGATATTCATTGATGTCAATACACCACAAAGCTCAGCTCTGTTTCTGTTTATTTTTCAGAAATATTTATGTTGGTTCCTTTTCAACCAAGATATGCAATGTGTGCTGCTCTCCTGATGGCTTTAATCTTAAACACACATCAACCTTAACTGGTTCTATAACAAAGCACCCAATGGGGTTTTCACACACTAACAAATGAATGACAGGGGGGGATTTCAGAAATACAAAATACACAAGACATAGAAAAAGGTGAATAATCATTTCTTACAGTTTTATTAGAGTGTAAGCAGTCAACACACAATGCTAATAGCGCTCTAAAAGTATTCTTTAAAAAAACCACCTCAAAACAGTTCTCATTAAATCAACGTAAAGTGTTGCTTTTGTTAGTTTTGCATCAGAATCAGAAAACCTTGATTTGTCCCAAAGCGGTGTCATTTTCTATTCTAAAAATAAGAAGTAACTTAAGAAATAAAGAGGCAAGCTATCATTCATTTAAGAAAAGCAAATAAGTTGCTGTTAAACGTGCAACGTGCAAGGTGTTTTCAAATACATCCTCCATCCTGAGCTGTGTGCTGCCAGAACAAGTGGATTATTGAGACATGGTGCACTTATACATACATTATAGAAAAATAATAGCTCTTTGGACGATCAGGCATTTCCTTAAGAAAGTCATCCCATAATGTCGAAGACTCAGCCCTATTTCTAAATAACATTTCCCGCCACCTTGTTGCTGATTCTTTTTTTTTGTATCTTCAAAAGGATGATGGCTCCTCCTCAACCTGACTTGGCAAGAGGAAATGTAGTGTAGTGTGCTTCTGACAGCGTGAGAATAGAGACTAAAGCCCCAAAACTCATTATTAACTGTGATGTGACAGACATTCCCCGGAGGGATGCTGATAAGAGGCCATTACAGAGCCTCAGTCAACAACACCTTTCCAACAGTGTGTGTTTATTTCTTTGTGAATACACATCATGATGGTCCGAGCAGCTGTGGATTTGTTTTTGTCTAAACCTGTCATCATGTATTATAAACATACTGTCATTTTCATTTTTTTTTTCTCTGTCTGAGGGGATTGTTTTACTCTTTTTAATCACTGGCCAGGTATCTGAGTCATTAAGAGCTTCATTAACAGCCTTGTTAGGCGTTAATTATCCACAGATTCATCATGTGTTAAATGCACTGCCACGTTCAGGCTTATTAGGCTCGAGAAAGGCTATTAGCCACTAGGAAATAATTAATCAACAGCAGTTTGACATACTTCCGACAAGTGATGCTGCTTTCTTTTCTTTTTCTATACCAGCGGCTTCTTGTTTATGCGTGTGTGTATCAAGCAAGGGATTCTGAGTTTCGCTGCTTTTTCTATCCTTTCATCTAAGAGTGTGTGTTTTCATGTGTGAACACAACGCGGCGTCTGTTAGATGATAGAAGTATTTGTTGCTCGGTCTGAGCTGTGATACTGAACTCTGCAGGATGGTGATGAGAGGGCACGGAGAGAGCTGCAGACCCACAGGTGTGTTTGGCAAGCCGACCTCTCTCTCTCTCTCGTCTCCTCTCGCTAACACACAACAACACACACACACACACACACACACACACACACACACACACACACACACACACACACACACACACACACACACACACACACCATGAGTGCCTCGGGTGAGAGTGAAGCATGCATTCAGCTTATACTAAGAACGGGAAGATGGAGGTCACTTCCACTATTTATTTTTTATGCGTGTTTCTTCTTTGCTCATCATTCTTCTCTTTTGCCATTTAGGATTTTATGAAGCACTGCTTTTATTATGGGCGCTGCACTATAATAATAATATTGTTAATGACTGTAATGTAGTGTAATATAATAAAAACACTCTCTCTTAATCGCTACATCATTTTGAAAAAAAGGCCAAGGAGGCAGTTATACTACATAGAGAATTGACACCAAACACTAAAAATGGTAATCAGGAAACATAAAAGCAAAGCAATAATAATAAAAATAACTGGAAGAAAAGGTCAGTAATAACTGGCAAAGCATAATTTCATTAAAATAAGTTGCAAGCAGAGATTTGACTTAATAATATTCACTCTGCTGCTTTAAACTGCTCAATGATAGCTGTGAGGAATTATTGCACTTTAAAAGGTTGTGCAACTCGCGAGAGACAGATTTCCAAAGCAATTTTAAAATTGAAAAACACAGCAGCAAAGATATCCTCATTTGTAATGTCTAGCATGGCTGAAGCTGCAGAAACACTACATTTCCCACAATGCAATGTGGGAATAATAGCTTCTTTCATAACAGCCTGTCCTGCCTTCCTAATGCTCACATCTTTTAGAACTTCTGATTCTAGTTTGAATCCTTTCTGTTAAAAAAATGCTGTGACAAGCAATCATGTGTACACTCAGTTGAATAACCTTTTAAAGGTTTTTTGAAAAAGTGATCACTCATCTGTGTCTATAAACCCTGCAAGCAGACAACACACCTGAGATGTGGAGTTTAGGAGAAACTATAATACAAACCCTCATCCCAATTGTCTCACCTCCGAGATGTCTGAATGTGGTTCACCTTCCTCCGCCGTTTGAAACAAATAGAGACAGAAAACAATCATTACAGAAGTTAATCCTGATACAAGTGCAAGTTGGATGTCCTTCTGTCAATGCTGTTATATTAATGACATGCTATACGCTATAAGCTCTCTTTTAAATTAATCCGCTGTTTCTTTCTGATAGGGAAAGCGCAGATGTTCTGTTTTTTCCTTCTGTGTGTTGAGTCACAGCATCGAGCTCTACATAATTTACAGCCTATGTTTTTTCAGCATGCTTTTAGCGCTGGATATTTTCAGATGATATCGCAGCACAGAGATGCAGCTTGCAATGCTGTATGTCAATTCAAGTTTGTAGGTGCATTGAGAACCTTCTCTGAAAAGATCTGTTTTGCTTAAACCTACGTCATACTGACTGGTAAAACATTTGTTATAAATAGCGCAGAACAGCTTTTGTTAAACCGAATTGAGATGTAATTCTTAAAGATGCTATGATTATTAATTATTTTTATTTTTATTTCAGGAAACTCTTAAGCTAAGTTTCCTGAATGTAAGTATTTCTCTTCAAAATTCATGACAAAATAAGCGACTATTTTTTTGAAAAATGACTTGGGGGATATTTTTTTAAATCACACATAATCTTCCGTCGGTACTGTGTGGATTTGGAGTGATCAAATGTAATTGACAGTGGCCTGGCAAAATAAACCGACAAGCCAACACCTGGCATCAAAATTAAAATCAAATGTTTTAAATGAAACGTGCCCATGACAAACCAGTGAGGAACACACACAAAATCTCATGTATACAAATACCTCGGGGAATAGCCAAAGCTTAATTTGGCAGAAATATTTGTGTTCATCTACGATTCTGCAAATACTTTTTTAGGGCTGAAAAGGGAAGCTTCTTCAAACATTGACCATAGTCGATGCAACCTTTTCCCTTAAAAGAAGACGAGCCTACCGGTGCAGAATTGAAGCACAGATGAATTGAGACTCTGCTACATTTACATGCATCTCTTTGTTGTATTTTGTATCACTATAGTAACCTGATTTGCATAAAGTACATATGTTAGCATGTTGTAGTTGTGTAGGTCACAAACACCGTCAATGCTTCCCAAAACTGGAGGAGTTAGAGAGACTCGGAGCGAGGAGGCTTGGATGTCCTCTCCAGCAGCGCAGATGTCACTAAATAAAATATTTCATAATCCTGCCCAATTCCTCTAATCACCATGACAACAGGCAGCAGGGAGCCGGAGAGTGGTGGTGTGTGGACCCCCTCCCTCCTTCCTCCTTTCCTCTTTTTCCTTCTCCCTCTTTTTAGTGGAATTTGGGTCCTCACTGTTCTCCTGGATCTCACACCTAAAGAAAGCATTGATTTTAGAGGGAGTTAGTTTACTGGCTCATCGTGACAATCCATCAGTGACTCTTTCATCAATACTGACACAGTTCTAGCCTCCAGCTGTTATTTGTTTGCCTCTTTTCTACCTGAAGGGCATCACGATGGAGGGGGAGGGGGGCGGGGGGGGGCAAAGATAGAAACCCAAATACTGAAAGGACAAACCTCGAGACGACCTCAAGTTTAAATCTTTCCATTTAATACCTGATGATTTCCTTCAGCGTCAGTGTGTACATGGTGTAAAGTGTGCAGAGACACACACACACTGCCGGCCCCTGAACGATGATAGGATAATGGAGGTGATGACCTCATGGGGTGAAAGGACCTGTTGCCTGGTAACAGGGTGGATAACAGCCAGAGAGGGGTGTATTCATATCACCAGCATTGTGTGTGTGTGAATGAATGTGTGTGTGATATTGCCCAGTGTTGCCAGGTAAGGGAGACGATGATAGTTTTAACACACTTTGGCGTGTGTGTAGTAGTGTGTGTGTGTGTGTGTGTGTGTCACTGATTCAGGCGCGCACAGGTAAGACACACAGTCCCAGGCTGTGTCAACACTTCCTGCTGCGGGATGCTTTTCCTACATTTGACTGTTTCTTCTGCGGCTCGCTGACTGTGTGTGCCACTTATAAATAATTAACTCCCCCCCCCCCCCCTTTCTCTCTTCCCTCCCCTCTGCAGGTATTCGGCCCCAGATTATGAACGGGCCTATGCACCCGCGCCCCCTGGTGGCGCTGCTGGACGGGCGCGACTGCACCGTGGAGATGCCCATCCTCAAAGACCTGGCCACCGTGGCTTTCTGTGACGCCCAGTCCACTCAGGAGATACATGAGAAGGTACAATAATAACTTTCAGGTTGCTACCTTTTTCACCTGTATGTTAGGAAAAGTAAACAACTTCAATTCTTTAAATAACAGGATTTCACCCCTTTTTTATATCTTTACATTAAAACAAACTGTAGCACTGACCTTTTAACCTCTAATAAAAATGAACGTGTTCGGGGATGGTTCATCAAAGTCCTAAATCTTAAGTGTTTGCCATGAATGCTGCTTATTTATAATCTCATTTAAGCAGCATTTGTTTATGCATGTAATTAACTTTAATTAGTTTGTGTTAATTGTATGTTTACTTAACTTAGCTTCAAGCAATCTGTTTCTTTAAGACGTCAAGTATAGAGTAGAGTGGATATATTTAAAATCCTCTCCACTACTTAATAGAGAAGGGGGTAAAATAAAATATGTAATTGCACATCTCTGAAAGAATTCACACAATGATTTGTTAAAGAAATACAATTTAGAAAATGCATAGAATGAAAAAATAAACACAAACTGTATTAAATTATAATGTTAAATGTGTTTAAAGCATAGAGAAACTTGAATACAATTTGAATCAAAAAACATGAAAGTTTTCAGTTTGAGTTACATGCAACACTTCCTTTTGCTGTTCCTCACACAGAGCTCACTTTCCCTCAACACAGGTTACTTGTAGCCAATGTGTGATTTTACTTTACCACGCTTCTTTTAATTTGTCAAACAAAGCAGATGTGCAGTGTTTGTACGTTTTAATAAGCAGTATATGTTTGGAAAATGTCAGACTATGTAATCTATTACTCTGTAGCAACACCATCAGTCTGTGTTCATTTCTGCAGTAACAGTTGTACTGCGGTAGTAGAAGACAGTGTGTGCTGGGAGCAGACACACACACACACACACACACACACACACACACACACACACACACACACACACTGTGATATGTTCATTATATGAACTTTGACTGTGACTCTGGAATGATTTGTCCTCAGTTGAGTGCAGGAGAGTCGTCGTGTTCCTCCTCTGTGATGCTTTAATAATATTTCAGCCCACTGGCTTGTTCCACTCTCCCAGTTCAACTCTAATGGTTTCATCACTGACTGTAATCCCACTGGGTGCTGAAGTGCTGCTTTGTTAAATAAGGAGGAGGAGGAGGCTGGTAATAGTAAGGCAGCATAATTGTTCTGAGCCAGAGTGGGTGAAACATTTGTCTTATTTTACTGCCGATACACTGGAGCCAGTCAGGAGCAATTTTACAATCAAAGCCGCAGGGTCTGTTACACATATAAAGAGAATAGGAAGGGTAACACTTCAAGATGTATTCATTTAGGGAAAATGATTCCTTTCAGCAAATTCTCCAAATATTTGGTGAATTTGATATGCAATGTAAAAGTAGTCAGATTAACTTTTGTGCCAATATAATCATTTATATGTCAAATGCAAGTTTTCTTTTGCATATAACACTTTAGTCCTTCCTTGCCCCCCTAGTACACACACACACACACACACACACACACACACACACACACACACACACACACACACACACACACACACACACACACTCTCTCACACTCTCACTCTCACACACACACACACACAGCAATCTATGTTCAGTAAGATGCACTCGTGGTGAATACATTACAAATACTGAGTACCCATCTGGGAGAAGAGATGTTGGCAGCGTTCCCACAACTATAACTGCACAGCAGAGGGTACAGATGGGGCACCACACACACACACACACACACACACACACACACACACACACACACACACACACACACTTACAGACACATACACGCACATACACACACACAGGCTTGCCAACAACCTCACTGCAAGTTTTAGTAGTGAAGTACTGCTCACACATGAGTATATAAACAGACCCAAGCACACTGCTGTCTTTTTGCATGCACTGCCTGGAAGTGAGCAGATGCAGTGATTAAGGAATCTGTCACTCAACGATTCAAAACTGTAAGCCAGAGTTCAGCTGAAAGAGTGTTGTGGCCCCGGTTGAGTACACCTTAAAAGAAATGTATTACAAGAGCTTTTGGTCTATGAACTAATCCAGTTATGTCCTTGGAAAAGACCCAGAAAATTGTGTTGTTTTTAAAGTGTCGCTGTATCCACTCTTCTTAAGTGCAGCTGTTAAGTTAAATTGCCCAAAAAAATCTCAACCAATGTTTTAAGATGTAATTGTGAAAATGATGGGGATCTCACTCATGCACAAATCACACGATCAATCAAGAGTAGGGAACATTTTGTGATGCATAAATGGCAGTTTTTGTGGCACTTTGGGGCTTTATTTGCTATTTGAAAGTGTAGTGATGGACTGGAGAGCATGAATCAGAGAGAGAGAATTAGAGGGGTTTGGTTGTATGTGTTTTATGTGCTGTGTTTTAAATAACATCTTACTTTTATGAACAATGAGAAAGAGATACATACAATGATGTTTCTGGACTTTCTGTGATTCCCTTCATCCAAAGCAGGCTTCCCCCAATCTGTCCTCAATAGCTAAGGTTTTTAAGAACCATATTAGGTGGAAGGAGATAATAGATGTGTGATAATTTTTTTTTAAAAGCTAATAATGTGAAAAATAGTTTGTCTTTGTTGAAGCTTTTAGGCATAACTTTTATGGTCAATTTAAATATTTTGTGAAGCCGGCTATTGATTAACTTAGCATAATGACTGAAAACATGGGGTAACAGCTAGCCTGGCATTCTTCAAAGCTTAAGAATACCAACACCTGTGAAGCAAACTATTTTATAGCTATTTGTATACCTTCACGCTATGTCAGTACCTCTGAAACCACAAATCAATCCCCATGTTCAAGTATTTCGTTAAAGCTTTAAAAAGATTCCATAACGCTGGTGTAGAATAAGTGTACTGTGAGGCCATGCTCACAGACCTTATGTGCTTTGCATTATTCATGATCCCTTGCTGTAGGTAATAGCCTTGTGCAAAACAATGTAAAGATGCACTGTGGCATGCCAGATGAGTTATTCACACAAAACAAAACCCATTTTCTCACTTTTTTCCACTTCATGTAAACTCTCCGCTTGTGTTCATGTGATTTTTAGTGAATTTTCCAGCATCGTCTCCAGCCAAGCCTGCTGCTGGGCCTGCTTCTCTAAAGTAATGAGATGAATGCATGAAGAGAGCTTTAACCTTGAATTTAGCATCCGGCTCTCACTATAACAAGCTCCAATAAAATGTTGCATGGTAATTCATGGCTATGCTAATCTGGCTCGGTTAGGTTAATTCAGTGAGCGGGTTGTGAATTCTAACGTGTGATTTAGCGGCCCGTGGCGTGCGGCGGCGGCAGCTACTTGCTGATTCTCTCCGGGTTCCTCAGCAGCTGTCCGTCTACTTTATGGTCCTGCCTTGCGTCCACGTCAGCTGTGTTTGTGTACAGTCTGAATGAATGGATTGTGACAAAAGGCAGCTTTGGCGAAAGCACTCATTATAAACACACAGACAAGCACTCGTATTTCAGGGCACACATAAACAATCAATTTGCATTTAGATGAAGAAAAAGGGGACGTAAGGCTGCAGGAAAATGTGTGGTGGTGAATGCTCTTCTATTCAAGTCATACATGCAGGAATTTGAATATAGGGATGATTTAAATAATGACTGATCATAATGTGAATGCAGATTGACTCCTAATGATTGTTGATGATGTAATGAGACAGTGATGATGATGATGATGTCCCTCAGGTGCTGAATGAGGCCGTGGGGGCCATGATGTACCACACCATCACCCTGACCAGAGAGGACCTGGAGAAGTTCAAGTCGCTGCGCATCATCATCCGCATCGGCAGCGGCTACGACAACATCGACATCAAGGCTGCCGGGGACCTGGGTGAGACTGAGAGCAGACACAGAGCAGGAGGATGGGTGTAGAGAGAGAGGGTGTTCAGAAGTATCACAATCACAATCAAGTTTATTGGAATTTGCTCTGGTATCTGCTGGTGCGAATATAAACAATCGGAGAAAAATAAGAAGAAATATATATAATGATAATAAAAAAATAAGTAGTTTTACGAAACAATTTAGCATTAATAAACTGCACTGTAACTTTTATCCATGTATTTTTTCTTTTAATGTTTATTTTATTATCTTTTCTTTTTAATGACTGATTTTAAATGCCATTTTCTTAATGTCTTCCATTTTTGTAAAGCACTTTGAATTGCCTTGTGTTGAAAGGTGCTATATAAATAAACTTGCCTTGCCTAATAAAGGATTCTAAAGACAAGTATTTACACCAAATGTAAACGTAACTATACAAATAACCTTAAAAGCTAAGTCAATTTTTTATTGACTTAGCTTTTAAGGTTATTTGTACACTTAGGACATTGAGTATACAACACTTAGGACAATGAGTGTATATAGCAAACTACAGTGTATTATATTTTAAGGTGGAGAAAATACTGAGAATAAGGAACAATGTAACTGTAGCCAATATGACATAAAACATTTCAGGGTATTTTTTTTGTTCGTTTGTCCGCGGTGAAAGTTTCATAGTATTACAAAAAAGGAATAGTCATCTCTTAACATAATTCTACCTATTTTCCCTCTATTGGAAATGTAACGGAACAAGTTTTTAAAAAAAGAACAATATTTAACAAATGACAGGTGTTGATGGGCTCCAAATAATAATTTAAAATTCGAAAGAGTCCTATAATGTAGATAATTTAGTAAATGTAATGTGCTTTTAACCTTTTATTTGACTATTTCAAGGTTTTCTTCCCTTGTGAAATGGAGGTAGCACAACTATCAACACCTGGAATAATATAACAATACCATTTTTAGACTGAGGGATGAAAAAAAGTTGTTAAAAAATGTTTAAAACTAAGGGTTTTTCAGAAGTAATCCTATACTGAGAATATTGAAGAAGTTGGGGTCATATCTGTCAATATGGCTTATTCATTCACTCCTGCATGATAATAAAAAAAATAATTAATTAACAAAATAATGCATTATGGATAAGAACAGTGCACTTTTGGATGGGGGCCAAAGCAAACTCTGCTTGCTATTGACTTAACATAAATAACATGTGTAACAGGAATGATTGCATACTGTAAACAGAATATGTAATGGCGCTGTTTGTAAATGCAGAGCAGATGCTCCAACTGATATGAAACTCTCACTCTGATTCCCTTTTGGCCCCTTCGGCATATGTTTGTATGAGAGCAGGATTTAGTGTGATGTCCTAATTATCGTCGTTTGTGGTAATTCATCTTTGTGCGCTGACGTGCATGTTTTGAGAAATGTTCTTTTCATGGCCATAATTAGCAATTGTAATTATCCTCTTCAGTTTCATACACAGTGCATTTTTATTTTGTAGAGGGTCATAAAGAAATCATTTTCCTGTCAATGACTTTGTGAACTAAAAAACGACTAGATTATGCCCTCTTGAAAACAGCTTCTGTACTTAGAATCAACTATTCAATCTGTAGAGCAGTTAAGTTACTAGTCATTTTCATCCCTTTATCTTCATTGCTTCTCTTTTCCAGGCATTGCGGTGTGTAATATCCCCTCAGCGGCGGTAGAAGAGACAGCAGACTCAACACTTTGTCACATCCTCAACCTGTACCGGCGGAACACCTGGCTGTACCAGGCTCTCCGGGAGGGCACGCGGGTCCAGAGCGTGGAGCAGATCAGGGAGGTGGCGTCGGGGGCGGCGAGGATCAGAGGAGAGACGCTCGGCCTCATCGGATTTGGTGAGCTTCTTTTTAGATTTTTTTTGTTTAGGTATCGTCAGCTATGTTGCTACTTCTATAGCCAACAGATTTTTTTTTAACCATTTTTAAATGTGTCTTAATTGAACTGGCAGGGTTCCTACGGTCATTACAAACCTGGAAAAGTCATGGAAATTCAAAATGCAAATTCCAGGCCCTGGAAAAGTTATGGAAAACAATATTTTTCCCAAGGTTTTGAAAAAGTTATGGAAATGTAACTAAAGTTTCATCAAATATAATTTATATTTTATCTAATTGCCGAAATAGTCATACTATAATGATAATAAATACTGTATCGTATAGTAATGAAACGTAAAATGGCATTTAACTGTCGAGGTGTTTTGCTGGTGAGAGATTTTAGTTGCTTGAGCCTGTAGAAGCTAAGTATGTTTTAGATAGGCACAACATGTTTCATATGCAGACCTTATTTTCCTGTTCCATGTTAAAATAAACAATTTTCAGTGGTACCGCTGAGAAAGAGTAATTTTTTTGGTCATGGAAAATTAGGTAAAGGTCATGGAGAAGTCATGGAAAAGTCATTGAAAATCATTGGTGAAAGACTGTATGAACCCTGAACTGGCTTAATCACATTGCAAGGTGAAATGTGAATTTGTTGTTCTAAAGTTGTCAGATTGTTTACCCGGTGTACTTGTTTTTTTGACTAGGGCTGCACATAAATGTTGTTTTTAATACAGACTAATGTTATGTAATTTTCATAGCTCTTAGTCTGTTAAATGCCATAAAAAGTGAATTTGAATTTCTAACTTTGTGAAGCAAGACTTAATTACAAGGCTGACGTCATGTTGAGCAGGTACACACTCATGTTTAACATGGTAAAACCCAATTAGCGTAGTGGCTCAGGATGCTAACATTTGCTAATAAGCATTTAACACAAAACACAGGAAAATGGTGTTAGCATTATGTGTATTTAGTCATAAACAAAGTATAGAAAAATGTTAATGTGTTTCTGATGATGAATGTTTTAAACTACTGAGTACTTGGCATCTTTGCTCACACGTTTTTTTTAATAAAAAACCCGATTTGTTGTGATTGTCAAATATCTCAATAAATAATTCTGTTTAGAGATTCATTAATACTGAAATAATTCTGCAACCAGTTCCAGGCTTTCATAATAAAATAAGCTTCAGCAGCTGATTATTATTATGATCAAATGATTTAGATGTTTTAAATACTGCACCCCCCCCACCCCACATTAGATTCATTTCTGCCATGGCCATTACTGTACTTTTTTGTAGGATATTGAAGCCAGTGCAGGACTCTGATATAATCAATCTAAAATAATTAGTATTAAAATGTTTAGAACATCTGAATTGTCTCTGAATCCGTGCTTCCTTTCCTTCTGGTGCCTCCATCAGGTCGCTCGGGCCAGGCGGTGGCGATCCGGGCGAAGGCGTTCGGCTTCAACGTGATCTTCTACGACCCGTACATCCAGGACGGGCTGGAGCGCTCGCTGGGCGTTCAGCGGGTCTACACGCTGCAGGACCTGCTCTACCAGAGCGACTGCGTGTCCCTGCACTGCAACCTGAACGAACACAACCACCACCTCATCAACGACTTCACCATCAAACAGGTAAGGGTGCTGAACAAGCTGAACAAATACAATTGTTTATCTCTCTGACATGAAGTGATGGAAGAAAGGAAACTGTGGCGGCTCAATTTCCAGTCCAGTAAGCTTGGCTATAAGCTGTGACGCGTTTTCAATGAGAAAGTCCATACTGAAGTAAGATAGTTTGACGATATTTAATAAACAAAATCAAAACACAGGGACTATATAACTATCGGGACAAAAACGGTCAACAGAAAAAATGACAGCACAAGCTCACCCTCTGTCATCCGCACTCGACATGAAACAGGTGCCCTATATACACAAACCACACCCATGTGACAATTACCGGAAGTTCTCAATAAACAAATAAAAGTGACGTAAACGAATAATAATAATAATAATAAACTCAGGCTAAGTAGCATTTGGTACCTACAGAAACTGAACATCGTCTAAGAAACTGACAGAACCTGCAACTTATTAAAAGCGTATAAACCTCAAATGGCAGAAGCTCTTTTCATTCCCCTCCATAGCAAGCTGCACATTCTCCTCACTCGGCTAATGATTCCCGGGGATCGGTAGCACGGCTTTAACCCAGCGGACTTGAAGAAGACTTGGCCTGCCACTAGCATTCCCCGGCTGCCAGCGCTCCTCTGTCCAATTATAGGCTGTTTAAACAACCTTTTAATGAGTGGTAAGATACTGAGAGAAACAAAGAGACACAGGCATGTAGAAAACCTCTGTGGATCCAGAATGAGAGGGGTGTACATACGGGGGTGGATGGTGGAGCGTTATTGTCTGTGATGTACTGGGAAGATTCACTGTAATCAGTCTGTTCTTCCTCACAGTTTCATAACTCTCAGGTCAGCGCGACACACACACATGCCAGAGTGTGTGTGTGTGGTTGGTGTAGAGTAGTGTTCTTCACTGTAAACCAGCCAAGTATAACGACTGTCACATTGAATAAAGTATGAATTGTATCCTTTTTCTTTTAGTGAAAATGATTATAATCATTTTGACAAACAGTAATCTAACATTTCTTATATTAAAAACCAGGAAACATAAGATTACCTCTGCGGTTAGATGGTATAAGAGTTTACATTTTCCCTGCAATGCAATCCGACATAGTTTGTTTTCAGAGTCCATGATATGTTTATGCAGCACCCCCCATCTATTGTGAGTTGCCTACAATGCAGTCAGTGACGAGCTGAGGAATGCTATGGAGCAGCCAAGTGGTGAATCAGCAGCTAAGCTAACCACAGCATGCACTTTAACCCCCCAGTGTAATAGTTTCGAGGCTTTAGGGATCAGCTCATCTCACATGATAAACACAAGAAACCCTCTCGAGTTATCCTCTTCGTCTCTGAGTCTGAAGCACTGCTGCCACCTGGAGGACACAAATGGAAATGTTAACATACAGTATATACTACTGAGACATACTGCTGTCCAGGGGCAGATCTAGACAAATATTCATGGGGTGGCAAGAGGGTGGCAGGAGATTTTGAGGGGTGGCATCCCCTGGCAGAAGTATATGCTGATTTAATAGCAGTCATATCAATCAATGTTAACTTGGAAAGCCACAATATTGATATTTTAACTCAATAACATTAGGTGACATTATTGTGGCACATCAGTAAAGCCTTAAATAGAAATATATAAGGTGGCAGACATCATTTAATGATTTCTAACTGAATGAGTTTGTTTCACTCTTAGACCAGCAGGGGTACCAAATCTATGCAGACTGCTGCAATACGTACATTAATTAACTGCCTCATCGATGTTTGTCTGAATGAATATGATAATATTAACAATCATATTATTCCCATCAGCTGTCAATCACTGTTATGATTCGCATATTCATTTATTATTGAATAAACTATATTTTTGGAGGAGTTAATGATGAATGTTCCTCAAGATGCTTGCTCACCCTCCTTCAAATTTGAAGTAATTATACTATCATATATCAAAATTCAAAAGATTCAAAGGAATAGTTCAGCGCTTTTTTGCAAACAGTTACAACCTTGACTTTACATCAGAAAGAACAAACATTAAAGAAGTGACTAACTGCATCAGTTAGGGTTAAAAAACATGTATTCAGCTAAAACATAAACATCGCTGCAGTTATTATCCAGTGGAAAGTCCTTACCTACTGGCCTACTTAAATCAAAGTGGTTACTTTTCTTTGGCTGGGCAGTGTAGTTTTACACACCGTCTTATTTGACTTTCTCAGGACTTAAAACAGTTTTTTGGGGGCAGACCCCCACAAAGAAGAAAAATGTTATACACACATACAAGGTCATCATCTTAACAGTTTGTTATGCTCATCCGTGAGCAGAGCATCAAGTTGGCATGCCTATAACAGCTGAATGCGGCGATTTTCATCTTGTTCAGCAACACGCCTCACAAACTGATTAAGTTCCAAAGCTTCAGTGCGTTTTGATTCAATGCTGAGTACAGCCAAACTTGACAGTCTCTTCTCTGTCATTGTAGACCGCAAATACCTCATTCCTTCCGTCTGCTTGGGTCTGAATGCTTCTCGTTTTGCGCCATCCCGTTCAAATGAAATCGCCGCCAATCATATTTCCACTTAGAGGTTTTCTCTCATAAATGTCCGATGAGCCACAACTTTTCTTTCAAAACAAAGCGGGGGAGTTAATTCTATTGAGTAAAACGTTTTACACGAACTATGGAGAAATGTCGCCAACATTTATAATCAACATTTAAAAAAATATTATTAATAAATTAATTGCCTACATTTAGGGTGGCAAGGCATTTTTCTGAGGTGGCCCCGTGCCACCCCGTAGAACCGCCACTGCTGCTGTCACTGTCTCTGATTGTTAATTCATGTCTAATTGTTGTATATTTTCTACTCTTATTCCTCTTAAACTAGTTGTATACACCTCATGTTTCTTTTAAACTTGTTTTTCATTTCTACTTCTGTATTTATCTGTACTTTCTTAGTGCTGCTGTAACGCCTGCATTTCCTATATGGAGATAAAGAAGTCTTATCATATCTTTAATGTAACTGCTATTTGAGTTCAATTCAGCAGTCTTATAAATATGTAAGATTTTAAAGCTGCTTTTAAAAAATCACTTACATGCTCGCTTCCTGAATAAAGAGCCTCTGAAGATGAAAGTCTAGTTGCCATTTAAATGTCAACTGTCTTTGAAAAGCCTTTTGTACTCTTGTCGTTCTTTTATTTGAAGTGTTTGTCTGGCGCTGTGTGTGTGTCTTCCCACGCAGCGTTTAGAGGATGGCAGCCCCTCTGCAATCTCACAGCCACACGTGTTGATGTCTGGAGTTATTGTGAGTGTTTCTGCTGTGTGTGTGTTTGCAGATGCGTCAAGGGGCTTTCCTGGTCAACTCGGCACGGGGGGGTCTGGTGGATGAGAAAGCTTTGGCTCAGGCCCTGAAGGAAGGCCGGATACGGGGGGCCGCCTTGGACGTCCACGAGTCGGAGCCTTTCAGGTGATTATCATCAGAGCTTTCATTGATTCAACTGACTGTTAAAACATATTTTAGTATTTCATCGCTAGAATCACACATTTATAGGACATAGCAACTCCTAATAGACCCTAATAAGTGACGGAAATGGATGCCCAAATCGAAATGAAATCAAGACAATCTCGTTAGAAAAAGGCTTTCTTTTTCATATCATATTTACTTTTTTCTCTCCATATTTCTGTTGAGCAGTTTTTCCCAAGGTCCTCTGAAGGACGCCCCCAACTTGATCTGCACCCCCCACACCGCCTGGTACAGCGAGCAGGCATCACTGGAGATGAGAGAGGCCGCCGCCACAGAAATACGCAGAGCCATCACTGGTACACTGACTTCTCTAAATGCATTTCACATTTAAGCTGCAGTCCAAAAAGTATGGCATAGGTATTTTCCTTATCCTCCATCATGACGTCAAAAGAAACATCTGTAAGAGAATTCATTAAGACTTAGGAAAAGACAACCATGGTGCTAAGGGAGTACAACTGCTCTTACACTATGCAAATGATGTGATGATGGATTTCATTGTTCCTTTTTGAAAAAAAAGCTTTATTTACAACACATAGTACACAAAGTAAGGTATCCTGTCCAAAAAGAATCCAACCTTTACAACTAAACAGCCACAGCACATTAGGTTAATGGTTAAGTTGACTTTGAATTTTGTTGCAACAAGGAATTGTTGGACGGCATTATCCCCTGTTCTTGGATAATAGATGGTCCAGTGTACCCTATGCTAAAGGAGATTTAAAAAAGGAAGCTTTGTACCACCAGCTTTGTATTTGTATTCTTTGTACCACCAGCTTTGTATTTCCTAAACGTATTATCATAGATGCCTTATAGATACTTCCAACATGTTTTACCCAGTTAGAAACATTCCTATGCAAAAATCGTTTTTGACTGGAGCCATAGATTTCGTTTTTTCATCTCACCAATGTTTTGTCTTGCCCCGACCCAGGCCGTATTCCTGACAGCCTCCGAAACTGCGTCAACAAAGAGTTCTTTGTCACCTCGGCCCCCTGGGGAATGATGGAGCAGCAGCAGCAGCCTCAAGTTCACCCTGAGATGAACGGTGCCGCCTACAGGTAGGGGGGGCTTATGTGAAAGAACCCAGCAGGCTCAGAGACCACCTGAGAGACATCAGTACCTGCCGTAGATCAGGCTTAGACTAGATGTTCTTATGTATGTCACAATTCTCTATTCTTGAATTTTAGCCTGGGTCCTAGTTTTTGTGGCGTATTAATACATAGTAGTTGGCCCAAATGAATGAATCGCTTGTTCAGTTTAGGCTTTTGGTTTCTCAGTCTCTATATTGTCTCAACCAGAATGAACTGCTTTTCTCACACAGCCAAATGAACCGAACCATGGTACAGGCCATAGCAACGGGGGGAATGCAGGACAAATTATATACCTAATTCTCAACCAGGTAAATGAAAACTACCACTGCTGGCACACAGACCAGAGCAAATGAATACCATCATTAATATAAACCAAATCCCATTTAAATCTGTGGCCCCTTTTCCTGCTTTACACTCTTGACCCACATGTCCTGAAACCCACTGTACCCTGCCTCTCACCGATTCCCTAAACACAACCAAGGGTTCACACACATGTTCAGCTAGGTATGACACACCTGATATAAGGAGTAGAACAAATCTAAATAATGCACTTTTTTTCCTTGTTTTTTTTTTTCGACTGTAATTTTGAAGTGACGGGTTACGAACAAAAAGCAGGAATGTTTTAATTGTGGAGTTTTTTCAGAAAGAGTTATGTCATCATTACATCTAAGAAAGAAAGGAAGTGAAATTCTGAAACTTTGCTTCTTGCTGAGGGTTTTATTTGCAGTGACAGCCCCTTCCCTGACACTTGTCCTTTCAGCTCCCTGTATTTAGGAATCAGTTCACCCAAATTATGAACACATATCTCACTAGGGACTAGGGCTGTGCAATTAATCGTATTTTAATCGCAATTACGATTTTGGCCTGCCACAATTACGAAAACAACATAATCGAAAAAAACGATTATTTTGCTTTGCTAGGTTGTGACAGGGCACTGCAACATATTTGATCTAATTAATTTGTATTTATCATATTTATATATGTTTAGTAGCTTGTGGAAGTGCGCTCCAAAATATTTGTTGATCTTGTTTATTGGTATTTATTATTTTGATATTATTTATTTAAATGTATCATTTATTTAATTTATTTTTGTATTGGTTTTTCAGTTGAATTATACGCTCAGGGTAATCAACAGTTAAAAAGATACTGTTCAAATTATTATTGGTTTTAAAGTTCAATAAATGGATGTTTTCAAAGTCAATGAATAATCGTATTTAATAATCGTGATATCAATTATTGACCAAAATAATCGTGATTATGATTTTTGCCATAATCGAGCAGCCCTACTAGGGACACTATTTGGAAAGAGATATCACTGATTATTGTTTTAATGTCTTGCATCTATACCGTAAATCAACTAAATTCAGCAGAGATCTTAAAAGCTGAGCAAACAAAATCAGAGCAAGGTAAGGAAAGTGAGGAATCATGTTTTATAATTTGGGTGAATGATCCTTAAGAGTCCTTCCTTACACCAGATGTGGACTTCTTACATCATGTATTGCCTCCATGCTGCAGAGCTCCCTGACATGGTTAACTTTGCCCCTTTTTTTAATGATTTGTGATTCAATTTAAGGTTTTTTATCCCCAAAGTACATCATTATATATTTATCAGATTTCATGTGTTGATTCTGTATTTCTTAAGTAGCAGTAACTATAAAGCCCCACTTCACACAGTAATGATCAGGTGCAAAAAAAGGTTGTCCAACTTTGTGGTGGGAATTGTTTTTAAATGAATGATTGATGACTCACCAAACAGCAGCAGACGTTAAACAGTTTTCCCTCTGCTCTTCATCGCGCCTGTTGATCCTCTCCTCTCCCTCCCCAGGTTCCCTCCCGGTGTGGTGGGCGTGGCCCCCGGCGGGATCCCCGGACCGATGGAGGGGTTGGTGCCTGGGAGGGTGCCCATCGCCCATACCCTGCCCCCCGGTACCCATCCGTCACAGGCCCCCTCCCCCAACCGACCCTCCAAACATGGCGACCCCATGAGAGAGCACATGACTGAGCCTTAGGACTGCTGCTGTTACCGAGCAGGGGGCTGAAACCAACTTCAACTAAAAAAAAAATAAAACCCAGCAACCCCACCAACCGAACCATCCGACTGTACGCTTGACTTCAGCCATCTGAACCCACCAGCAGACTGCCTGTCGGGCAACGTTTCAACGATTTATTTTGTATGAAACCACAGCCCCAGTGAGGACAGTGGACACACAGTGGTTATAACACACCTGAGATGGTTATTACACACCTGAGCTGCCACACTGAGATGGGACTGACCGTCAAACTCATGCAGATCTGAGACCTCCCCTCCCCCATATCTGTTTCTGTTCTTCGTTGATTTAAGTGATATTTTAATCTTTATTTCTGAGTATATTTCAGGGGAGATTCCTCCTGATTTCTGGGACATGTTGACATTTCCACATGCAGGATGGACATCTGACCCCCCCCCCCTCCCCCCTCCCTGATTTAAAGGACAAGCTTGAAGCGACAGTGACTTCATAAACTTCCCCTTATTCCTCAGTTTCGCCCATTTCAGCGCAGACATGTCTTGTGTTGATTTTTTGCTTTTTTACTTTCTTCTGTTTACCCTATATTCTGTGTTTATGTTGCAAGTGAATATCAGTTTTTTCTGTTCTTCAGTGTTTGAAAATGAATGAATTTACAGTTACACGTATGTTTAGCAGACCAACAGCAGAATCTGCCGTCTCCATCAGAAATCTGGACTCCATCTTTGCTTTTTCCTTAATCATCGTGGCTGGTGGCCCCTGAATGTAGAGCCAAGATGTGTGCCAGGACATGTGGTTTCCAGTTCCAGAAAGAATATTTCAGCCCATTAACTAAAAAACGACCCTTTGAAACCAAAAAAGGAAAAAAAATCAGACTGCCATTTGTGGTTAGATATTGTACGTTGAGTGTATAACATCAATTACATTTAGCTGTGGTATTTTCCAACGCGGCTGAACTGAGGTACCCACGATATTTGGCCTGAACAGTGTCCCAAATATCTGCATCCAAAGGACCGACAGTACGTTACAGCTCCAGTTAGCGAAGTAGGGAAAACAAAAACAGCTTACTGACTCAGGAAAAAAGACATCTGTCCAAATCGGAATTAAAAGAAAAACTGGATTCTTGCTTTCCATTACTCCACCTCTTTCTCCATTGTGGTATTTTTTATATATCAAATGTATGTTTTTGATGTTCAAGGTTTTCTGTCCTGTTAGATTTGTATTGCCTTGTTAAATGTTCTTATAATCATAGTCTGATGTGAGCGACCACTCCCTCTCCTCCTATAGTTTCCTCCTATTTGTTTTTCTGCTCTAATGAAATCCAGCTGTGGCTCTCGGAGGCAGAGCGTCCTCCGTGAACAACCGCCGCCACATCCACCCCTTTTAGCCCCGTGACGTTAGCAAGAGACGGCTGCTAGCAGATTGTTTGGTTTTTAGTGTGAGTATTTGTATTTGTTTCTTGTACAAGGTGAACATATAGCATACAGTGCAGCTGGAAACAATAAATAAAATGTACTGTTCTGATTGATGATTGCCTGTGTGGGATATTTGTTTGTTTTCTGGACATGTTTAACACTTGCTTAAAAAACAATTAAAAGGGGTTTCAAAGTCTGGAACTGTCAATGTCGGAAAATATTAATTGTGCAACAGGTTTTAGAAATACAGTTTCTATTAGTCCTATTTTCAAGAGGATGTGTAATCCATGAGTTGTGATGTAGATAAGTTGTATATTTGACAGACATTCAGCCTGGATCTGGCTGCTCCTTCTTGCTACGTTGCAAAATGTGCCAGTCCGAAGACAACGCTTATGTCACCAAGCCGTCGCTCTGAACCACAGAAACTTCTGAATTTCCATAATAATATTCATAATAAATAGAAATAGCATTAAAATCAGATGAAAAGGTGTGTCCTGCTTGTTCAGTTAAAGGGGACCTATCATGCAAAATGCACTTTTGTACGTCTTTTATACATGAATATGTGTCCCCGGTGTTCCAGGGAACTCACCAAGTGTCAGAAAACACAACCCTCTCTATTTTCCTCCATACCCAAATCTCTAAAAAATGGGCTGCAACGGATCTGATAAAAACTGATCCAGATTTGAACACTGTCCTGACGTCAGGACAGTGGCACTACGGCTATTGGGCCAACTCCACCAATCAGGAGGAGACAGCCACGGACATTGCAGTTCGAAAGCGCTGGAGACGCTGTAGTACATATGCCAGGCCTCTAGATGGTGCTGTTGCTCACAGAATCAGCCCAGAGCTAGAAATTGTCAAATTGAGCAAAATGAGGCATGGCTAAAATGCATGATCTGTTTGGTATTTTGAAAAAAAAAAAGTATAAATATGCCTTATATAGGTATGGTCCTACACTATATTATTCAAATATAGCATGATAGGTCCACTTTAAGTAATACAACGGTGCATTGATTTGATGTCACTCGGTCACATGGCGTTGAAACTGTTGAAAATAAATTCGACATTAAACAGACGGCTGTTTTTTTTTCCTTAAAATATTATTTTAATTATAAAAGAAGCGAGAGATGTATGTCTTAATTATCCAATGTAGTTATAACATAGGGCATGGATTGGTAGTCAATGGGTAACTTGACATGAAAGCTATTAAAGGGATTGAGACTGTTGATTTGTTCAACAATATTAATGTATAAGGTGGACTAAAATTCAATAAAAATGGTACATTGATTTTGGTTTATAAGTTCCCATGATATCATATAAAATAGAAGCAGCATTGAAATGATATACAACAAGGTGTGTCCCGGATGTCTTTTGCAGTTATACAATGCTACATTGATTAGGAGTCATAAGGTCAAATGATATGGAGGATATTAAAAACACCCAAGAGTTTTCCATTAATTAGTTTTCACACGTCTCGACTTTGTATGTATGATCTTTATAAGAAACTTTACGTGTAAACGCTGATATTCTCTGTATTTTCTAGGGGATGTATCTGAATGCATGAGAATAGAAGTGATTTCTGCCTTCCTAGTGCACAATATAAATTGTTATTATTGATGTGTTTGACTCCATAAGCATTCACACATTTAAGTATTAAACATTGAGCGTTATGGATGAGAAAATGAAGTCTTAACATAGGCTCTATATCTAAACACATGGTTACGATATATTTGTAGATGTTGGAGGCAGTGGCCAATCTGAATCTTGTGGCCTTCTCTGACAATGCTGTCAGAATCATCTCATTACCTCTGTTTAAACAAATACAATAAAGAGATAACAATACATGACATTTTTTATGACATACTATAGCATATGTACTTTTTACAGAACATACCATTCTATAATTGTTGTGACAATCTTTTATAATGTTTGACAAACTGTACTATGATGTTTGACTGCATAGAACAGCATTTACTATAACATGTTAAGCCATAATGACATTTTTAGGATTAGTTGAAATGACTACACTATTATATTTTGAATCACATTTGTTTACGGTTAACTAACTATACTATGTTTTTATCAATGTAAATCACAGAATAAACTAAAACATGAACTAACAGAATTGATTTCTAAGAACATCAGACAAGAAGCAGTTTAGTTGGACATTTATTTTGCCTGTTCATTGCGTTACACTCTGTATAGTGAAGTCAGGCCTAAATCCACACACCATCATAGTCACAACTTGCATCATAAATACAAAGCAACATACAGGAGATGCTCAAATGAAACAGGAAAGAGGTTACAGTACGCAATGGCAAGAAAAAAAACGAAATGCAAAAACATTCACAGCAAAAAAAGTAACTTGTTTTTTCTTCTGTCAGCTTTGGTTTTATATGTTGCAGTCTCACAATGACCTTAATCACAAACTTAAAGGAGGACATGAGGACAACAAACAGAGGAGGTGAACTGACGTGTACCATGACCTTGACAACAAATGCTATGAGGGAAAAAAGGGACAAAGAGGAAATAACAAACAACGCTGTGACGTTATGTTGACATTAAATGTGTCTCTCACTCTGCCTGCCCAAAAGAAAAGCACCAGATTTGAGGCATCCAGATGAGGTACTAAATCGCACGCAATAACGCAAGTAAACTTTTCACTGATGGTGATGATTGGTTCCTTTCCTCACAGCAACAGTGTTTCTGTGCAACGTGTCTTCATCAAGATTGAGAGAATAATTAACAAAACCACAAGTTTCCAAACAATAAATATGTAGAGTAATTTCAGAGAAGAGAAAACACACACACACACGCAACTTCAATCAGTCTGAAAAAGGTCAACCAAAGATCCAACATGAATGTTTGTGTGCGAAGATTGAGTGTAGATTTGACTTGTAAAGGGGAAATCTCCCTTTTCCAAGAGCTTCATATATGACCTTAATTCAAGCAATGATACTGTATTTATATAGAAATGTTTTTTAATAAATGTGCAGTGCTTATTAGTAATAAGGATTAAAGTCATTTAGTATTACACAATCTCTGGTTTTCTACAGATAATATTTATTGGCTTTGTCCCTGCCCATTCAGAAAAAAAAACTTAACAAGCCAAGTCTTAAAATGGAAAAAGAAACATCAAAAAGATCAATTTGGAAGTGTGCTTTTCTCAGTGCCCACACTGAACAGATATAAATGCTGGTATATTTCCTTATACTCTTTTTAAAACAACCACATGCATTTACATCTATGGATCGAGAATCCTTTATTCCTTTACATTTGAAAAACAAATCAAAAGGTTGTTTGCATTCGTAAACCTTTGTCTCGCAGCAGTTTGTCAGTCTCAGCGTTTTCAGAGTAAAGTGTTGCACGTGTTTTTAGGTGTCTGTCCGAGTGCCTGCGTGTGATAGAAGAGCAGCAGTGTCTCCTGTCAGTGGGGGGGGGGGCTTGGTTCCCTGTCCTCTCCTGAAGGCTTTCACAGTTTGTCCGTGTCAGGAAAGAAAAAAAAAAACTGTAAGATAGAGGAGAGGGAGGAGTCCTGCCCCCCCCCTCCCAGCAGACCGCCTCCCTCGCCTCGCTTCAGTTCTGTCACTCGTCTTCATCGTCCTCCTCCTCCTCTCCGTCAGACAGAGACGCGCAGGGGCGGATCTGCCGGTACCCGTCCAGCCACTTCTCCACCATCTGGGTGACCAGAGGGTGGTTGCGACGTCGTGAGCTCTTCTGAAGAGCCACCAGCACCCCCCCCTCCGTCACACAGCAGTCCAGCCACTCCCGCAGCAGCTTCTCCTGCTGCTCCTCGTTACCCATCTGCAGGGGGACAGATACCACCATCAGTGGGAGCCACATTGATAGTAGAGTAACAAATAAACTCAAGTAGATACGTTTGTAGCGGACTCTAAGGGAGCAATTCAGCAGTTTGTGAGGTTCAACACTAGCAATCCACTCATGAGCCTTTTCTGTGATGTACTATTTTCACACTAACAGTTTGTTACTATGGAAACAGAATGCTGGGAGTAACTGCTTCCAACTGTTTTCATGTTGAGCTTTAGCTGCGTGGATAAAAGACACATGTAGTCAAAGATAGAAGCCCACAACATTTTATGTTTAAGAAAATGTATAAGAAAGCGTAATTAGACAGTATGAAGTTGACTTTTGATTGTGTTCTGGTTTTATGTTTCAGTATTTGTAAGCAACTGTGACTGAAAGAATATTGCTTTTATTTTACTTTATTTCATTCCTTTAGTTTTTGTAAGAAGGGGCAGGTCAAATAAGATGTTCTTCTCCCTGCTCCTTTCCACCATGCGCTATAAAAACAACAACCAGTATAAGTGTACATGTTTTGTTTTAAAATAACTGCCATGTGTGGAATAAACAAATAAATAAAGACAAATTCAAGACAAACAAGAAATGTGTAGACACTAAAGGGGGGGGGGCCTTACTTCCTGCGCTGAGAGGAAGTGGATGTGAAGCAGCTTCCTCTCGCTGTCCACCAGCGGCAGGAACGTCACGGTGACGTCGTCGTCGGTGTTGAGGTTGGCGCCCGCGCCGCGATTGTCGAAGCCGTCGTTCTCCATGGCAACCAGCGCTGAGAAGTGTCCCCGCGTGTAACCCAGGGCGATGGGGCTCTTCCAGCAGAAACTCTGCTCCCACAGAAGAGGCAGGTACACACCTGAAGGGGGGAGGGGGGGGACACAGAGAGGGTGTTACGTAAATATAGTAATGCACTTTAGACAAACAACTAAAGCTGCATAGTTATATAAAGTGTATAACATCGTTGGAAGAAGTGCAATTCAATTAAATGCTTTTTTTTAAATGTTTGAGAATAATGGCTTGTTTTTTAATGACCGTTTGGTTCGTGAATGCTTTCAGAATTATTTTGAATTAATCTCTTTCCCTCTCACAGCGGCACGATGAAAGGCTAATTAGTGTTAATTACCATTTCAAAAACATTGTTTTGCATTTGTCATGACCACATGGCTTCTCTCTGTGGTAACAATAATGTATTAAATCACACTTTCAAAAAGGAGAAACAAATCTGCTTTAGTGTTGGTCCTAAATCAATACAGTTACGCAATCTTCATAAACTGTACTTATTTGTGTTTATGTTTTCCTCTTTCAATAAAACTAATGATGAACAGGTTCTTTGATAAAGTTAAGAGAGGGCTAATATTGATAGGAAACAAATAAATATTTGGTAAGAAAGCCAAATTATAGCAATTATTACCTTTGAGTAAGTAAAACGTATCAATAACAAAAGTGTTCAAAATCTGAATTGCAAAAGCAATATGTTCAAAATGTATTCATAGTATATCAAGTATAAGTAAATGTTATACAGCAGAGAAACATTATGGGATTGTTTTCACAGATGAAGTAACATTTATAAAAACATTTTAATGTTAAAGTTGGTCGAGGTATTGCTGAGTTTAACATAGTATATACTGTTGCATTGTTTAATCAGTATAAATGCATTCTATTTTATAAACCATTAAATGAATATAAGAACTGGTTGTATGTCTTGTAGTTAAAATGATTGATCTGCTAAGTAACTAAAGTTCAGCAAACTATTTGTGTTACATTCACAACATATTGTCAATGTGAGCTACAGAATGACATACAGGATTTGCACGACACATGTGCTCATATTCCATATTTCCTTGGCTGCACACTGGGTCCACAATGCACACCCTTGTTTCAGTTTAGCTTCTCTCGTCTCCCAGTAATAACAGTTTGTTGTTACTGGGTGCCCCCCCCCCTCTCTATAGGTGCTGCTCTGCACCCCCCCTCTGTGTGTTTTACTCTGGCTCTCAGCAACAGTAAATCAGGGATCCATCAGGCGGGCAGCTGTCCATTACAGAGCACTTCCATCATCCCCTGTGCAACATCACGCAGCAGACAAACTGAAAACAGGCTGTTTTTACTGCGAGACCCCTCCCCCCCCCACGCTCACAGGGTCTGATGGTTTACACATGTTCACGTGCGTCTGGATGTGTGTGTGAAACACTTCACAGCATCCACAGTGTAATGCATTTACTTAAGTACTGCGCTAAAGTTCAAACTATGCTAGGTATTTGTATAAATGCAACTTAATTCTTCGACTCCACTACGTCTCAGAGGGAGAAATGTGCTTTTTACTCAAATACATTTGTCCAGTAGCGTTGGTTACCTGAACATTAAGATTACACTTTTCTTCCTGTCAAGTGAAAACAATGCATCTCGAAATTTGCAAACTTTAAATATATATTCTGATAAACAAGAAAATGAAGGGTTGGGAAAACTCTCCTAACTCTTAAGCTAAATAATCTAGTTATTCTCTCAGATGCACAGACAAAAGATGCTACAAATAAATGATGATATTAGAGAATGTGATGCATTTCTGTTTAACAACCAAAGAGAATACAGTTAAGCACGACCTGACTTACTTACTTTACTTGGGTAACGTTTTGAATGCAGGACCTTTACTGGTAGTACAGTATTTACAGTACTTTACTTCAAGTAAATAATTACAATACTTTGTCCACCACTCCCTCCTATAAATAGGCATGAGTGTTCTGTTGTTTATGTTATTTTGAGTCACACAGCCCAAAATACTTCCTTAAGGAAAGAAACTAGCCTGAAACATGTTGTAAACAGTTACTGACAGTGCAGAGGGGCAGTTATGTCTGCTATGTAAGCTATGCAGACACATGTAGGCTGGAGCTGTTTCACAGAAGAAGTGTAGTCCTTATACGGCCACTGGCATGGAGCTGCACTCCACATTCAAATATGATTTCTCATGACAGTGAAAGATCTCCTCACCTTGAAAACGGGTGTACCCAAGCGTCTCTCCACGGAAACTTTTGTAATACTTCACTCCATAGACGATAATAGGCCTACGAAGTATGTGTGCAAGAACAAAAATGTGGGTCTGCTCCAAGCTGGATCCAGGCTGCAAAGAAAGTACGACACAAAGGGGAAAATGTAGTTAAAAAGCCGGGGTTTTTTTTAACCTACAAGGCATGGAGTCGTGAATACTGTACATTCCCTCTGCCAAGTTACCCCAGCAAGTGTTAAAACATGAAAAAACTCACACAGTTACTGCGCTTTCACACCCAGATATAATAACAACCCGCCCAAAATACTTAGTCAGTGAGGTCACACAGAGCGGTGAGAGGCAGAGAAGTGCTGATGACAGACAGGATGCACTTTCACAGGGCAGAACAGATTAAGTATACTGCGGTAAGAGCAGTAAAGCTTCTTGCATAATTCATACATCATTAGTGTGTCACATTTGAAGCACATCAAGCTCCTGTCCTCCATATTAATGTGTGTGTTTGCTTTCATGTGCATGTACCTGACTAGCCAGGGAAAGGATGAAAGCCCAGTCCTCCTGCCACTGTTCCTCCCGAAGGGAAAAGTGCAGGCCGAAGCTCTGGGAATACCACGACTCCCACTCCTTCCAGCGCGTGTAAAACCTGCAGACCACACACACACACACACACACACACACACTGTTATGTCTGTTGACATTAATTGACCTCTCTGTGCAGAAAGGCGTGTGACTGCTATTCATCCCTGTTGGGGTTTAGGTTGCATGGCAATTACTCATTATATCTAAATAGTCATTTTCTCACTGCAAATCCCAGAGTTTAGAAATAGACATGAGTCACACTGGGCTGTTGTGTTCCTGTAGAATACGGCCTTAAATTGTTGCAGTGCTTCTGACTTTACACTCGGGTAAGAGAGCATTAATCTCCTCTAAAATGTGTGCGACTGGTCTCCCAGTCAAAGCCTCTCAGTTCTAGATCAAAGTCGCAGATCTCTGCATGAGCCGGCAATCCAGATTTTGGATTCTTGGATTATATCCCGACCTCTAAACCACAATTTCCAACATAGTCGTGCAAGGCCAAAGAAAGCAAAACATAACTTGAGACCACTGAAGGTTAAGTTTCAGCTGTTTCTTTGTGCTTGACCAAAATACTAAAACTTAACCTGCAAAATGTTTAACCTTACTGTGTAAAACAGTCTAAACTAAATGTTTAAAGGGGACCTATCATGCAAAATGCACTTTTGTACATCTTTTATACATGAATATGTGTCCCCGGTGTTCCAGGGAACTCACCAAGTGTCAGAAAACACAACCCTCTCTATTTTCCTCCATACCCAAATCTCTAAAAAAGGGGCTGCAACGGATCTGATAAAAACTGATCCAGATTTGAACACTGTCCTGACGTCAGGACAGTGGCGCTACGGCTATTGGGCCAACTCTCCACCTATCAGGGGAATGTGGGGTTGGGCCACGGCCGGCCATTGCCGCTCGATAGCGCTGGAGACGCTGTAGTACATATGCCAGGCCTGTAAGTGGCGCTGTTGTCTGCCACAAAAGCAGCGAAGAAGACTTGGTTACCATGGTTACCCTTCTGTTTATTCTCCGCTGTGGCTTTCTTTCTCCCTCCCCGAGGCAAGCGTTTGCTCCCGCTGCTTTAATTCAATGCAATCCCTCCCCGTCGAGGCAAGCACTGTAATTCTCTCCGGTTAGTCCACCAGCAGATGACAAACACCCACCTCTCCGCCTCTTCCAAGGAACGAGGGGACCGTGCGGCAGAGTTTCAGTTTCAGTTTCTTTCGCCGGTCAAGATGTCCGTTAAAGTTTAAATCTTCCGGACAAAATTAGAAAAGTGCCGGTCAAAGGTCTTCTTTGTTATTTATTGAGCTTTAAAACAAATGAATAACGACTCTATATAATAAAACACGGAGGACGGAGATCTCTTTTTCTCCCCCTCTTCTGACAGCCCAGCAGCTGATCAGAGCACGTCTCACCTCTCCTGCAGGGGGGCGTGGTCTCACAAAATCAGCCCCGTAGACAGCAAACACATAGAGCGAAATGAGGCATGGCTAAAATGCATGATCTGTTTGATATTTCGAAAACAGAAACGTATAAATATACCTTATATAGGTATGGCCCTACAATATATCATTTAAATATAGCATGATAGGTTTCCCCAAGATTAAACATGGCTGACACACGCATGTTTTGCTAAAACTGCAATGGTCTAGAATTGTATTAAAAAAACGTACCTTTGGCCCAAATAAAGATGTTTGCTAATTAAAAACACTTTTCTACCTTTTGGTGCATTGTGTCATTCAGTCTCCTAAACATGGTATAAACATGCCTGAGACTAGATGCAGGTCAGCACGCCATGCTGCTCACAGGTTGAGTCTTAAAGGACTATAAACACTCAGTATCTGTGCTCCCGGGGTCTCACCAGTGGGAGCAGTCGTGCAGGCTGTCGTGGAGGGTCTTGCGGAGCACTGAGTCTTTGTCGTAGATGCCCCATGTGGCCTGCAGCACTGAGTCCAGCAGACAGTCCCCGGCCGTGCGGTTCCACAGGGCGTACAGCCGGCTGTCCAACCTGGTGGCCAGCTCCAGGGACCAGTTGATGATGGGAGACTCCTCTTCAAGCTCTGCACAAGGACGAAGGAGAAGATCAGGACCGTTTGTCTTTGCAACAACTCAGTGGTATTAACAGTTTTTACCTCAAAGGGAACACATATTTTGTAATTACCCTGAGAGATAGTTCTTCCATACAATAATGAAATGGGCCTTTTTTTCTTCATTTATTTTGTATTTTATTTGTAATGTTATACTATCTTTAAGGTTTTGTTATTTATTTAGATTTTTAGGCTTGCAAAGATGTGATGTGTGTGTATTACGATTCATCAGTTTCTTTTTCTGTGTAACTCACAGGATGTCCAAATAGCTCTACATGTACACCACAAAACAGATAGTCTGGAAATGTCCTAGTAGGTACAAAGACACATCTAACCCAGTGCCTCCAAATCAATGTGGCATTGTATTACTACACTGTAAAAGCAGGACAAACATCTTCTTACTACATTTTGGTGCTTTTTCTATTTTATTATATAATAATAATAATAATAATAATAATACATGTGTTTTATATAGCGCTTTTCCTGGTGCTCAAAGCGCTTAAATATAAAATGAATATATGAATATTGTTATAAGAATTCAGCAGTTTCTTTTTTTAAAGTCTAATGTCTGTTCAATATCTTTCAAAAGCTCGTCACTAGGTCATCAGAAAAGGTTTGGAACATCTATGTATTATACTTGAGTGGCGCAATGTCACTAATTTGGGCAAGTTAGCACAGAGAAATCGAAGATAATGTTGGTTTTGTGTCATTCAAAGGGCAGTGAAAACCTGTGGTTGAGATTAAGGATTGTCTCATTGAGTCAAGGTGAAATAAGGGTTTCTGTATCTTTGGAAATATATTGTAGTGCCAAAAATAAGGCCCAGGTGACTAATTTAACATGACACCCATGTAAGCAAGAAACTAAATAAAGAACAGTTTTGAATACAAAACCATGCCTTTTTGTTTATATTTGTACATGTGTGGGCTGAGGCTAAATACAAATCATTACATGGGGATCAGAGAAATCCCTCAAACTCAATTAGGATGATTAAGGCAGAGGCAGCAGCTCCACACGATAAGGACAGAGCGCCTGGCAGAGTGACAAGCAGGAAGGCAAAACGCTGTGCTGGCGAGAGGGAAATTACAAGTTATATATCACTGTCTGTATTAGGCAGCTTTCCCACTATAGTATACAGTTTGAGAGGGGGCTCCCAATGTTTGCCATTCCCCTCTATTGTAGTCATCTTGGAATCGGGTTTCTCTTTCTCAAAGCAATTGCATCCATATGTAAGCACAGCGTGTGATTGGTGTAACTGCAACACAAAGTCAGGAAGTGGACAGAGTAAATATTTCACCTTTTTGTACGTCTCGGTCCAGCACCTCATCAAACAGCTTCTCCTGAACTGCTGGGGGCAAGTCTTCAATGTCTGACGCAAAAAAAAGGGTATTATAAATAATGACACGGAGAGCACAGTCTGAGTTTTATTAATCATTTTGATATTTTATTTAAACTAGCTATTATTCTTAACTGAAATGATTTAAAGGCCAACTAGAATTTTTGTTTCTGGCATGGCTCATTTCAACTCAAGCCACCATGTTTTGTTCTTTCCACAATGGCCACTGGCTTTCACTGCATGCTCCGTGCTCTTGTCAACACAGAGGCTTATTCTTCAGCTAAAATAAAGGAATGCAGTGACTTTGTGGAACTGAACAGAATGGCTTTCTATAGTGGCCATACGCCAAGGTCTGCATTGTCAACACATAACAAAAATCTTTAGCCTAACCACCAGCAACATAAATAGCTATTCCACACAATGAAGCTCAACTGAAATAGCACTGAATGCATGACATTTTACACATTCATTAGCAAAATGGCTAAATATATCTTTGTAATGAACAAGAAACATGCATTTTTGCGGTGATGGTATACTCCAGTATGCAAGAACAATACTCAAACAGTGAGCCAGGCGTAGCCTCCATCTTCTACAGTTGGAATCAGACAACCATAGCATTATGTCCAATCAGCATCCAAACAACTAGCAATTTCACAAGCCACAAGTAAACAAAACAAGCATTCTGTCACACACTTGGCAAGCCAGAGGGGAGGGCTAGACTGGGTTTCTGTCAGCCACAGAGTTTTCACAAAACCCAGAAACCATACTTTCTGGACAGCTGCTGGAATTCATGCTATGACAGTCATGCTTATTGTTTTAAGACAGTTGCATATTTGTTTGTGGTGCTGACCTGCAGGCAGGGTGAAGGTCACCAAGTCAGTGAGAAAATAGCAGGTGAAGTCTCCCTTGCGCTGGTGAAGAGACGCTGCCACCTCTCGACGGATCTGCTCCGTGAGCTCAGGACACACCATGGCAGGGATACACTTGGCTGCCTGTTGGGACACCTGCACAGAGAGGGTGGGAGGAAGATACAAGTACTTTATAAGAGAATATAAGACAGAGGTAACCACAAAATAATTCAAATAAGAAGAGCTGTTTTAACTTATGCCATAACAGATTTTAAGGTAGTTTAGCTGCATGATTTAAGGTGTGACATTACTAAAAAGGCTAGAGAGAGAAATAAGGAGGAACATATGCTTAACTACTACTGGATGATGAGCTGACAGAATCTCAGATGTCTTGGTGCTTAAATACAATTCTGAAATAAGGAAGCTTCGTGGAGATACCAATACAAGTAATAATACTAATGAAAGTATTTGCCTTTTGGCTTAAGCTAGTGATGGCTGCTGATAGCACATATAGCAAAAATACATTTAAATTCCTTTTCCGGCACAGTTGACTCAGAGATCTAATTTCACTTGTACTAAATCTAATCTCAGAATAGAAGTGTATATATGTGTGGTGTTCGAGCAGATGTCAGCTTTGGCGCTTTTTCGGGGGCATGAACCAGCGGTTACTCACTGACCCCCTTAGAAAAAAGAACTGGGACAGACAGTGTGGGAGGAGAGGTGTGTTTACAGATAATCTGGGATCACAGTGCTGACGGTAAGTGAGCTGCAGCCAACCTCAGCACAAGCACACTGCAGACGAACACACACATACATCAGCTGTCTTGTTGCACAGACACACCAGAGAACCCACATTTTTATCAAAATACTCAATATAAAAATAATTAAAAACATAAAAACGTTGTAAATAAAGGAACGGCTATCATACTCCCGCAGGCACAGAGAGAGGAGCGTGTCTCCTTCCTCTCTACAGACCATTTGCCCTTGTCAGTCCTCCGGGCTGATCTCATTGGACGTTGAGATTAAGAGACTTCACAAGAAAAAGCTGCATCAACGCTGACCCAGAAACAAGCTCTGCTGCAATCATAACCCTGATTCAAGGGGGTAATTTCCACTGGAGACCATGGCTTTGAATTTATTTTTTAAATAACAGGCGAAATGGGATTATGAAAAACACATTTCCATGATGCAAAACAATTTAAATGTTGCATTTGTTGAACAGAATGATCCACATTGATCTATAATCTGCCTAGTATAGATATTAGATGGCAGAGTGTAGTCGGGGGTTGCCGTGTGTTTGGAAGGTTCCCCCGTCCATCAGCTGATACCCGGGGCAGGTGGTTCCTGAACTGGACTCACAATCTGTTTGTTGTCTGCACTGACCTCTGTGAGTAACACAGCCAGCATGTCCTGTCTCTGGAAGCGGATGGCTAGGTGAACCAGCGTGAAGCCGTCATCAAATGCAGACGAGCGGTTTAATAGGCGCACCTCGTCTGATGATAGCTGCCGTGCGATGTCACCTCCCGATGACTTGTAGGCCTCCACAGCTGCCAGGTCACCTTCCACAACACCTTTCAGACAAAGAGAGGGGGAAACGGTCACATTTATAAACATTTTTTGTAATACTTTTTAATAAAAGACATAAAACAAATCAAGCAGTTTGTGCATTTTACCCAAATTAACATCATTAGTAATATATAAATCAAAAAATCTGAAAAGTGAAAATGTGTTTACTTCAATTGCATCATGCAGCCTTAAGGGTTGTACTTGTTGACAACTGTGATATCTGTACTAAAATCACATCAATGGATACAAAAATGAGTCATCTTAAGAACAAGCGTGTGCAGAGGACATTCTGTACTCATCCATTAAGTATAACATTTTAGAGAGCAGAATGTGCTTTATCTCTGTGGCAGCTGTAACAGCTTCGAGACTTCACTGACTTTGAAGTGAAGAGAAAAAGACAATAGGGGGCCACATTGTAATCTGCCAGATATTTCCCCCCCCTCTTAATCTCCAGGCTTAGATTTTAGCGTGAGGGTTGGACGATGTGTTTGATCTGACAGATGCAGGTGTTTGCTTTTCTTTACTTTTTTTGGCACAGTGTGCAAATATTACCATCTGACAAAAGCTATTTATGTCAACCACAAACACACAAACTCGAAGCGCCGATCTATTCAACGAGACATTCAAACTGTAGAGACATATTTGAATGTCTGAAGAATAAACCAGTCGTTTGCTTTGAAGTTATTATGCCAAGTAAGCTTTCCTTTAGTAATCCTATGAACTCATACACATCTGATGCTCGAGACCGCGACATTAATCTGTGCCTTCAAGTAAAAAAGGATTGAAAAAAAGGTTGCGAGCATGCAGTGTGTGGCTGTAATAGTGAACTGTCCTGCTGGGGTATGTCTTTGATTCAACTCCTAAACCAAAGCAATTGCACACACCGATTAAAGGTGGACTGAAATGGATATGTGGGTGGTCGTATGATTCATTAGACACAGAAAAAGCTCAGACCAATGCCAGCCATTAGTACTGCGATCAAAATGGCAGCAGACGCAATGAGATGAATACACATTTAGAATCTATTGAAGGAGAAACTATTTAGACAAGTGTGTGATCATGATGTAATAAATAAACTCAAACAACAACGTGTCAATTAATTCCAATGCCACAGAGCAACACAAAGTGTCTCTTTCCTTTTCTAGCATGTACAGTAAAGGCCCATGTAGTATTCTCTCGTACTTTTTGAAAGCATCAAACACTGTTGAGCTTTTGTTCTCGCGTCAAAGGACCACACACAATGCTCTGCTGCATGATCTGTGCGAGTGAGACCCAGAGAGACATGGAGTGGGTGGAAGGACTCGCTGTGCCATGTGGAGCTGGCTAGCACTGTGAGAGATGAGGAGAGAAACTACACAATAGCAGCGCAGTGTGATGAAGAGGGATCACAACCACTTTCCAAAAAACACTGTATTAGTGTGGGTGTGCCTGTTGCCCTGCAGCCGGTACTGTACCCACAGATCTTTCAGAGAACAAAAACGGCGCAAATATGCAAAATGGCATACACTTAAAGACAGAGGAGATAGGGGATGGATCAGGCTAAGTGATGCTGGTATCTTCTCTCCCACTCAGTACATGTTTTTTCTTTCAGTAATGTAGACTGTTGTGACCTCTGTCAAAAGAAAATGATCAATAGTCAGTGGTAATGTAAATTTATCATACACCGGAAGATTTGTCTGCCTAGCAGGGGTTTTCTGTTATGGCATGGAAAACAACCTTGATCATCACAGTTAACATTAAAACAGTGCTTCATAGATAAAACAAGGACATCTCCGTCTTGTGTCTTCCTTTTCTTCCTCCTACTGCAAAAGTGGGATTTTTTTATACCCTTTTTTATTTTCTTAGAACTATTTCTTTCCACAAAAAGTGGATTTATTCGTGAGTTGCTTTGGGCAAAAGCCAGAATGTAAATGTTTTGTCAGAATCTTTTTCCCTTATAATAGTGTAGACATCTGCCTCCTTTTCTCAAGTTACACAATACCATCACTCACAACAGACTGAAAACTGCACTGCAGACAAGTGGAATTATGTAAGAACTACGTCCTGAGGGCTACATCTTTACAAGTAGTGAAGATGTATTTCAACCCATTCCCAATACCTAATTGACAGGATAGCATTACCAGAAGTTCTTGTATTCCAAAAAACATCTTCAGGGATTTCCCAATTTACAGGCACAAATATGATTAATTAAATAAGAAGAATATAGTCTTCTTTCGCATCAGACATTGTCACATAGAACAGCTAGGAAAGTTATGTGGTATTATGTGTGTGGGCTCACTGACCCTAAATGAACCAGAGCCATTTATAAAGCTATAAGTTACAACCAAGCTTTTCCTGATAGGGTGTAACCACACATGTAAGCCACACCGGTTGAGTTTGGAGAGTTGATATAAGGTCATCCTGAATATAGGAGCGAAGGTCATTGCTATTGCCAAATGCTTTACAAATATATACTTTTCACTTTTCAAGGCTGACACATTTGCACATCAGTTTATGAGCAAAAGATTAAACATTGCATTGAAGTTTTATTGGGAAGGAGTGTGCTCACAATATAATAAAATAATACATTTTAGCAAGCAAAAATTCCAAATGATTCTCCTCAAATGTGAATATTTGTTGCTTGTTTTTTTGTTTACAAAGGCATTGGATTGGATATTATGGGGTGTTTCGCTGTTGGTCAGATAAATCAATCAATATGCATATGTCTACATCCTCCCTGGGAAACTATAATGGGCACTTTTCCCAGGAGCAAATGATTAGGAAACAATAGGCAGATATCAGTCATGAAAATAACCTACACTTTCACAAAAATACATGTCATGAGTCTTCTGGCAAATAGAGAGTGATTTCAAACAGTGCTTGAATTTCACTTCCTCTAAGGGACAATGGAGAGATGTCTGATCAAATAAGGAAAGCCAACACTTGAATATGCTAAAAGAGAAATCAGACCCACTCTGACCAGACGAGACTTGGTCCCAAGGGGACAAGCCACACAGGCATGAGGGAATTCATCCTGTCACATGCAGCAATAGACCAAGTGTAGGACCTAAAGCAAACTGTGATGTTTGTGTGACAGTCAGACCCGATTATCCCTTTGATTTAAGGAATGTAGCGTAATGAAAAACCGTATGACTATCACTGTGAGGGCTTCATTGGGATATCAAATACAAGCATGGCTGTCAAATTTTTGCTGTCAGTTTAACACAAAAGAATTGTCTGTCAAAGATCCATATAAGGAAGAAGGCCTGGAGGTTGAGTGGGTGTTCAGAACAAACTATACGTAGGCATGGTGAAGGCAAGAGAAAGAGTGAGATAGCAGCGTGATGGTGGGAAAAAAACAATCACTAGTTGTTCTTAAATGTTCATCCTCCGTCTCACTCCACATTCTCCAGTCTACAGTGTGGGTTGCTCTCGCTGTTTGTGCAGGGGAGTTCTACACCAGCTGAATGCAGGGGATTTCTGAACATATGCAGTATATCAGCATCAAAAGGAGGCCAATCAGAATCACCTGGACTTGGCTGAATTTTTTTTAACCATTTACCTAATGCGGAGGGTAAAACATATCAAGTATTCACACAAATTCTGGGGAATCCCATTTCACAGTCACCCAGTTCTCTGTTGGTCTATTTTACATCACTCAGATGAGTCATTGCCAACTTCATAACATAACAAAACACAAGGAAAAAACCTAAAATGCAATACATGCTACATTAAAATAATTGAAACTTACCAACACAGGCATTGAGGAAGAGCCAATCAGTCCTTCTCATCCGGTTCTTAATCTGCTTCAGTTTTTTAAAATCCACCTCCAGTTCCTCTTTAATCCCAATCCCAGCCCCTGATGCCACTTCAATCCTCTGAAAGTCCATGTTTACCTCTGACTCCCGTTTTGAGGTCGGAGGTGACCTTCTTTGGCTGCTGCTACAACCCACTACCCCCCCTAGCACGCCCCCTACTCCTTGCCCGACCACATGCCCAACAACACCCCTCCTGTTGTCCCTTTCCTGCTGATTACGTTTTGAGGAAGGTTGGTGAATCTCAGGCTCTGATGCTAGCTCAATGGGTTCAGCCAGCATACTATTTGGCCTGGGGTGATCACATACCACACACTTAAGTGCCTTGGCCCAGTTCTCGTAAGTGCAGGCGGTGCAGGTCCAGTGTTGTGCATGAGTGTTGAGCCTGTTGCGGTCATTATATTCCTCACAGGGGTCTGTAATGGTGGCTGAGGGAGCAGGACGGCATCCGGAGCCTGAGCTCTGGGGTGATTCTGTGGGGCTGCGAGGGTGCTGGGTGATATGTCCCTGATGGGCTGTGTGTTGCCCATGCTTTTGGTGTTGAGCGTGTTGCCTCTGGCATAGGCACTGGGTGCAGCGGATGGCCCGAGGCCAGTTCAAGTAGGTGCACATGTGGCATGACCACTTGCTACTAGTCTCAGGTACATCAGCAATGCGAACGCGGGGTCGGGCACTGGAGTCTGGGCAAATAAGTAGGCTGGATCCCCCCTGGGTTGGGCTGTTGCTGAGGCCTGCAGGGTCCCACTGGTGCAGACTGGCATCCAGAGGGGGGCTGCTCTTGAAGGGCTCCTCAGTGATGATAGCACCCCCGCTGGGCCTCTGAGCGCGGCACATGGTGCACTTGATGGCTGACGGCCAGTTCTCGTATGTACAGTATTCACAGGGCCACTTGGCAACCAGCTCGGTCATCGTCGCACCGACGCTGAGGGAGGCTTCCTGCTGCTCAGAGGGATCCTCAGCTCGGCAGACGCACTCTGAAGGAGATCACACAGCAAGCAGTACACTAGGGTACAAAGATGAAAAAAAGAAGGGTATTTTTGGTGAAAAACACTTAGATGGAATGCCAAATAAACATTCAACTACAATACATAATGAAAATGTTTCTGCATTCAAACTGGCAAATATGGAGCTCAGCTTTCCAATGGTAAATCTCACAGATAATGCACTATTTAAAAACAAAACAAAAACATCATGCTTTATTACAACCACCTGTGGCACTCAGGCCTTTGGGTCACTTACTGACAAACACTTATACAGTGCTGTTTGCTCTTGGTCTGGCACTAATTTGCTGCAAAAATCAAAGGGAGCAATGTTTAGAAACCCTGAAAGCAAAGTGCCAGGAAGGAGCCGGATGGCAACAGTGAATCTGAGCAGCTGTATTAAAACCTGGCACCGGCTTTAAACACATACTGTAAGTTATACACACCAGGCAAATGTGCCCTACAACCGAGCTGGGTAACAAGAGACAAGGACATATGAAACCAGACACCCAGCAGGGAGGCGCGTGACTGGTTAAGACACTTACTGATGCACTGGAATTTAATTCGTCCCAAAGCCCTTTACCCACATATGAAAGTGAATGATCCAAACCACATGTGCCGGTGTTACAATGTGAACATTATTTACTAGACAAAGGCTAATAAGCTAAAGTTAACTCGCTGGGGAAGCTCACAGAAGAGTTGGCTCTGATTGTGTTTATACCACGCCTCCAAGTTTACCAACACACTGTGAGGTATTCAGCACATTCAGAGACACGATTCCTCCGGAGCTGCACGTTTTGTAGAAAAATATCACACAAATAACTATGGGAACCTTGCCTTGAAGCTAAAGTAGTCACGTTCAACCTGTTTACTCGTGACTAGCAACTAGTTTCGTGCATACAATTCATACATTCGCCAGAAATAAATAAATAAACTCAAATGAGCAGTCGACTAGTGTCATTTGTGCTATTACACAGAGGTACACGAAGTACTCAGTTATTGTAGGAATACTATGTTACAAGTAAATGTCCTACATTCAAACCGTTACTCAAGTAAAAGTACAAAAAAGCATTGGCATCAATATATACTTTAAGTAAAAGTATGTGTTATGCAGTCAATTTCAGTATAACATAAATTACCTGTTTTGTTTATAAGTAAATGTACCTAGTTACTATACACCACTGATATTACAGAAGACAGTTCTTACCTAACAAACTAGCTCCTGACTCTATAACAAGAATTTACAGACCAACGGCGCGAGCTAGCTGTTTTGTTATTTTACATGACAACTAGGTGGTTCGGGTTGCCAGCCAGGAATTATAGCCAAGCTAGCAGCTACCATTACGGGATTATGTTTTGCCCCTGTCTGCCTGTACCAGTTGGAGGGAGGCCCTTATCAAGTCTACAAGAAGATCGCGCAATCGCTTACCTTTGCTATGTTTACACTCCTCAGTTTCCCACTGCAGCCAAAACAAATGGAGCTTCCGCGAGCCCCCCCCGCCCCCCAAAGGCAGAGAAACCCACTCCAATCTGGACTCGGGCTCCTCTCACTTGGACGACACTAACCGCATATTTACTTATTTGGGTGCCGTTTAGTTGGCAGTTAAAGGTCCATACACACCGCGGAGCAACAAACCCCCCCTAGTCCCGTTCCCTCGCTCGGTTGTTTTGACGCTTTAAATCATCTTCATGCTTCTCCCGACTCCCAAACACGAAGCTGACGGGCTTTAATGGCGGCACAGGGGAAGGGAAGCAACCGAGGCAGAGCTAAAAAATACACTACGAGGGAGAGCAGAGAGCTCTGGGCCGTGTTACAGTCAGGGGCAGGATCAGGATTTACCACCTGAATCTGCCAACCAATCTGATTGGTTGTTTTTTGGGTATCCCTTGACACTGACCAATCAGATTCTACGTATCTCATTCCAACTGTTAAAAGGCTCAGTGAAAGCAAAACAGGCTCGAATGTCATAGTAATACCAGCGACAAAATTCAGTTTACATGTTACCTTTTTTATGCTATGAGTCTAGTTACTTATAGTAAAAACATGTTATTTTTAATTCGTGCATCGTAATTTGCTGCATCTTTTGCCAAGCAACCACGTGGTATCCTCTCAAAGGGGATAACAGGATGATGTCATCGTAAAAAATACTGCAGCAAGCAGTCTGCAGTAATGCATGACAGCTTGTGCAACAGTTCCAAGCGCCCAATTGTTGTTGTTATTGACGGATATCTACACTACCCCAGGACAAACATTGATGTGCACCATAATTATTACTTGGCCATTGTTCACCTGCGAAAATGCATGCATGCAACTCTTGTTTACAGGAAAGCCCGTCCCACTTCAAGGTGATGTCATTGAAACAAACATCAGTAGATTTTGCGCATAGAAATACACATCCCAAACAAATATTTGAGATGTGGATTTGCAAGACTTTGGAAGAAGCTACTATTTGTTTTTAACCATTTAAGGCTCTTTTATAAAATAACCCTTATGTAATATCTTAAACCAGCAAAAAAACATTCAAAATAAGAGAATAAATGTAGCCATACAATTTTTTTTTAAATGATTTGCACATTAAAAGTACTCCACTTACAACGATAAGAAAACGAAGGCACATCATATTACATATGCATGTCTTATTTATTATCTCCCAGTTTAAGAACAATATTATCTTTGCTCGTCCAAGCAAGTCCTTGGTCTACTTTAGTCAAGTACACACATCCAGATAAAAGAGAGAAGTTCATAGCTGTGCACTGGACTTTGTGCTCTCAGGGAGGTGTTGATGTTGCAACAGCCCACTCAGGGAAGGGTCACCCCATACAGTAAGAGTACATAAGTGTATATTTGTACTATGTTGGAACTTGAAAGGTAGGATAGAAACAATGTTAGTCCTTATGCTTCATTCCAGGAGCCCTCAGCACCAGAGCCTTGCTGTTTTATATTCTGGCCATCAAGTCAGGATTATACCTGGGGATGCCAGAAAGAGAGACTTAAAAAGCAATTATCTAGGTACTAAGGACAAGGATTAAGATCGAGGACCAACATTGAGAACTGCTTATCTATACCACCACAACAATCAACTTAGACAAGCTTTTACAGTAAGTGCCTTTTAAATGCTACCCCTCCCCACTTGTCTACTATACATTCATTATATATTTCCTTAGTATATTCCCCTACTCAAAGGAAACCATATTCCTAACAAATTTATTTTGTCATTTAATTTAACATTGTGTGATTGCGTTACTCTGGGTGATTATAAAGTAACATTTTGAGTGCCAGTTCCCGAGTTATGCATTGGCATTACACATCAGGGCAAAATAGGCAAAAAACAAAAACAAACAAACATTCCATACAAACAGGCCATGTAAATAAAGTGGAGCTTGTTCACAAGGCAGCGCGTCTCCCACCACCAAATGTCTTCATTTGAGTGCAACCTGCTGATCATTATGTAAGACGTTCTCCATGTGCAGTGCAAATATCTGTCCATGCTGATCAAAACGGTGTCCATCTACCAATTCATGCAAGAGGAATTCACCCAGCACCCTATCAATCTAAACCTTGTTTATCCGTTGTCTTCAATGGGATAGATGTATACAAAAAAAAAAGTAATCTGCATGTCAGTCATGCTCACCATACCAAATATCAGTTATCCATCAGATTGCCACTGACTTTACATTAGAATTCCAGTTGAAAAATAATAGAGCAAGCAAAGTCACAGCTGCAAACAAGAGCTGCAGATCCATTTAGAAAGTTATCAGTTTAAGTATTAAAAAAGGTAAAACAGCTTTAGTAAGCAGTGAGGTGTTGTTTCAGCTAGAGAAAACATCACATGATGGAAAGTCAACAAAAAAAAGCTGGAAGTCGAATATTGCAAACACAACACATTTGTTATAATTGAACCCCTCAAGAGAGATCTGTGAATGTGTACCGTGTGCAGATAGAAACTGCCCTGAGTGGAAGGCACTGTATATTGAAGCAAGGTCATGATGTTTTCATCACATTATCCAGGTCCAAACACGTAACATTGACCCAACCAGGTCCGAATACATGAGGTCTGCTGTCGACTATGCCGAGACAAGAAGGTGATCGCTCGTTGTTCACAAGGTTACAATTCACACGCACTACAGGGGGTGTCAGCCTTCCATTAAGACTTTAATAGAAAACAAGTCAGTGAGAAGTGAGCTTGAAAAGGTTATATGTTCATGGTCAGTAGTATTTGAGACTAACAGCACTGTGAAGTGGAAGTAGCAGTCAGGGTTTTACGTGAAAAAGAAAACAGACAGATGCAGTTTTTTAGTGGTAGCTCTCTGTGTTGCAGCAGCAGGAGGGAACCTTAAGCATCTGGTTAGTAAAGCTACAGTACATCGTGTTGCCCTGGGAGCCTCGTACAACACACAAAAGCCGAGCCGAGTTTGGCTCAGGGTGCTCGAAGAGGACTACTCAAGTGGCACAACATGACAGCATTGGTATAGCACAATAATAAAAAGAAATCTTAAATGTTGTTAAGTGCAGCAAAGCGCATACCATTTCAGTGTAAACCAAAAAGGAAACAGACATTGACATTTTTGTCAAACAAATTAGATTAATTATTAATCTGACAAAATATATATATATATATATATATATATATATATAATTATGTATATATAAAGCACCCATTTAAAAAGTGGCGAAGTAAATTTTGTATGATTAATTAGAGACTGTGGAACATACAAATGAAAAACTAATAAGTTCAAAATCCAAACGTGATACATTTGCATTTCAAGGAGTTCTAGTTACATAATTTAAATCTCTTTTTCAAATCAAACATAAAAAGTTAACCATTGTTTACCTACTTCTTGTTAAAAACAATTTTTGGAAGTGTGCATAATGTTCTCCTTTTGTTTTTCTTGGATCGTTAGTTAAAAAGAAGGCAAACAAATAGTGCAAGAGGTAATGCAAAAGTGGGTGCTTAGAATTGGTGAAGCAAATGTGAAACAAAAGATACAGAAAGCATGGAGCATTTAGAGAGCCAAAACATCCGCACTGAAGTACCCAGACCGACCCTATTTCAGACAGACATCTTTTCCCGCAGTGAGACACACCTGTTAAGCCTGCAAAGCATACCAAAGTTTCCCCTTAAAATGGAGATAAGACTAAGACAAGAAACACTCGCAGAGGGACACCACCTGTGCATGCCTTTCACTTTCAGGACTGGCACTTCCTTTTGTCTATCTTTGATTGCTTGAGATGCCCTCCTATCAAGGTGCGTCACTTAATTGTGTCCTGTACACACCCTGTGGCATGGTTCTATGTTGTCTGTGAGCCGCGAGCGTCCCCGTCCGGACCGAGGGCAGCCGGCCGGCCTTGTGTTAAAACGCTGCCAGAGGCTATTGGCAGATGAGCAGCTTCACTCACTAAGTTCTCATATTCGCTACTGTCCTCATCTTCGTCATCATCCTCCTCGTCGTCTTCCTGCCCAGCAGCTTGTCTGTCTAATGAGTCAGAGCTCGATCCGTCCCCATTGCCAAGGTACGGGGTGCTGGGAGTGGCGACAGGATTAGAGCTGGCACCGAGCCCCGGGCCCAACCCGAGGCCCAACCCGAGGCCCATCCCCAGCGGGCCGGGAGGGGGGTGTCCCGGGGAGCCCACAGCTTGAGGTCGGGGCAGCAGAGCAGCGCTGGTGGGTGGGGAAGAGGAGGAGGAGAGCAGAGAGTCATCCTGGGACAAGAGGTCAGTGTAAGATGGAGGGTTGGGTGAGGTACTGGGCCGCTCCGGAGCAGAGGGGGTGGGAAACGTTATCCTGGAGAGAGAGGAAGCTTCAGAGGGTTCCGTGTTCTCCTCTGGAGTGGGATGGGAGTCTGTGTTTTGGGCCTCCCGCAGCCCTGTGGAACAGAGAGAAAGTTATAACTGGTGAAGAAGGTCAAGCATTTAGCTATTTTACAAAATGTTAGCTGTAAAAACTGAGGAAATCAAGTTGGCTGGTTTGCTTAACAAAAAGATGTTTAAAAAAGGCCTGGGGGAAAGGCATGGACTCAGGAGTGTAATATCTTTTGTTTTATGATCTTTGTTATTGATCTAAGGAACGTTAATGTTTCAAACCATATTACATTTAATTACACCATTACACTTTTTAGAATCAGGCACGTACTTCTCTCCTCTTCTGCTGTCTCGCGTTTCCTTAGAGCAATTTGTTGTTTGAGTTTGTTCACATCCTCTTGAATTTTCTCCTTCACACGTTCACTTTCTTCTACCTCCCCACACACAGCCTGAAAACAAGACAAACGGGTGAAAAACTCACACAAAAAGGGAAAACAAAAGGAATCTAGTCAGAAAACTATTTCACTACAAGCCAGCTCACCTGCACTTTGTCTTGTAGTGCACTGTAGACTTGGAATATTGTTCGGATATCCTTCATCACACCATCTTTGTCAAAGAATTCAGCCCTGGAATGATATTAACCAACATTAACCTCCATTATATCATTCAATACATAATTCTTCACATCACACAGAACAAGCTCATCCAGTTTGTTCTTTTATATTAACCATTTCAAAGGCATAAGAGCAGTTAAGGTGTGTATTGGTAAATGTGTTAATTTCTTTTATATCATAAACAAACGCCACAGGCTGTCATATAAATCATAAACTCAAAGGGCTGTGGTTTAAATAAAGTGATCTAAACTCCCTGCAGTTTAGATCGCTGACACACAGAATGTTCCTCTCTATAACACACAGAATGGGTCTAAGTTTAGACACAGATATATAAGCAGACGGGTGCAGTCACATAACAGCTTCCCCCTGCAGGCAGTCACCCACCAATGTATGCTGATACCACTAACAAACAGTGGCAAGACTAAACAACAACATGAGCAACCTAAAAATGGGAGTGAGAAGCGGCATGGGTGCATAGCAAAGAGAAAGCTGAGAAACCCTACCCGTGCTCTTTGATGACCTGCGTGTAGTTGAGTGAGGTGTTGGGCACTGAGGAGACTTTGTACTCCTGCTGGCTCGTGTTGCCAAGGTTTGGGATTGAGAGGGTTATCCTCTGGTTGAACCTACTGAGGAAAGATGACCAGTTAGCACTATTAAAACATACTTTTTAAGGAAATTAAGTTTATAAACATACTATTAGATCACAACAAAATAATTTTAACCCAAAATTAGCATTTTTTATTTAGTTAGAAGGATTCTGACTTATGAGGTCACGCATCACTTTTACATGATGTTATATGAGTAAGGGGCCTGAATGACTTTTTAAATTGTATGACATTGATGAAGAAACTTCTTGTATAAATGTGTCCAGAAACCGACCAGAATGGAGTATCCTAAAAGGATCTTGGATATAGAATAAAGAGACAAGATGGGAACTACCTCTATGTTTGTCATGTACCATTGTTAGTCAATATGCAGTTCTTACTTGCGGCTAGGTCTGAAAAGCACGTATTCTAGTGCGTGTGTGGAGCTGTTGGCGGTGGAGATGAAGCTGAACAGAAGGAAGACGAGGTCGGGCACACCAAGAAGCTCAGTCAGCTGTTTGTGGATGATCTGTTCCCTGAAAGACATCTGCTGCTGCGTGTTCCTCCGGAACCGGTACCAGCCAATGACGTTCTAGACAGCAGAGATAACAAAAGTTCCTTAATGTCTGTAATTTAGTAACAATCCAACCCAATTTAGGATGAAGTAAAAACATATGTGGACTGAAACACATACAAATACATCATGTGGAACAAAACAAACACTAATAATAATGGAACCTTTACTTACATAAACATAAAAATGTAATTGAAATTTATAAAATCAGTGTCTTTTTTCCCCCAACAATGTACGTTGAAATGACAATAAAAAACATCACTCACTTTCCGCCTATCTTTAAGTATGCTGTTGAGATTTTCCTCATTGAGTTTGCCTGCGTAGTCATAAAAGCTGTTGAGAGGGAAGAAACAGATAAAGTAAGTTCAAACTGAATCATCGTGTTCCTACTCCTCCTTTGTCTTGGCCTACTTCTTTACTCAATTTTGTCAGATGGGGCCATCTACTGTCCAATGTCAAATTCAGCTTGTGCTGAAATGCATGCAGGGTAATTTATGTATGCATTTAAATTGTCTGTATATGTATAATGACTTAAAACGCCAGAATCTACTCTGCAAAAAGGCATTTTTATTGAGTGACAAAAACAATAATACATGCTCAGGTCTCAGGCTCTCTACATGCATTAAACAACATCTATGGTAAGATGCCACGTTATCCTACATTGCCATATTGTGTTTGTTACAACAAAGATAATGTCAGATTTTCCTAAATTAAATGATCATGGCTAAAAATGTTGGCTAACCATTATTGTCTCCCTTAAGCTACTTCTGTTCTTCAAATTGCACACATCGGGCACATTTCACCATGTGTATTTATAACTGATGATAATAGTAGCTGTTTGAAAATAGAAACTCACATCTTACCTAAATAACTGTGCACAAGGATCATGGTTATGGATTTCTGTTGGGATAAAAAACAGACAAAAAACCTGCGTTTAGGTCATATATGCAATATATTAAAAAGATATTAGCCAAAATGTGGACAATTCTAATTAAAAAGCAGAGGACTAAAACCAAAGTTGGACAATAAGGCCACACAAACAGTACAACTGAGCTCACAAAGAAGACAAGTTCTGACTGATTTACATTGGCTTGTTGTTTCAGTTGTTTTAGTTTGGCACAATACAAAATCCTGTACAAAGCAGACTTTTATTCCAACCGCTTCAACATTTTTAGTAATCAGCAATACATTTGCACACTTCTGTGACTGAAGCAGAGGAATAAGTGCTCAGCAAAAAGCTGCTTATATGCAACTAATTACATTTCACATTCAGATCCATTGAGGCATGTTTTTTCCTGAGTGGACTGGAGTTTTAAAGGAGACATTTGAGTAGCAGTGAATCCAAACAACCCACACAACTGGACAATACATATTAACATAACAATGTATATGTCCATTATCTCGATTACTTTTAATATGTTGACATATTTTGGCACATTACAATCCAATACCGATTCCCGATGACTAATATCTCTCATTTTAAGTATCAAAATCAAAGTGAGTAATGGCATTGATCAGTTGCTACTTATTGCTGAGATGTCACAACATTTTTGTTTTGTTTTTCTGTCTTGGGGCTTACCTACTACCTGGAGCAACTCTGCCGTGCTGATCTGTGCGTCAGTGATGGTGACAGTCTCTTCTTGCCTTACATCTCCTAATAGGAAGCCCTCCTGTGGTAATACAAAACTGGGGTTAGGGCACTAATGTAGACCTGAAACAATTATCCCATTAATCTGAAAACTGACTACAAGAAAACAAAAACAAGTGTTTTATCAAATGCCAAACTTATATTGGTTCTGAATTCTCATATGTGAGGATTTACTTGTTGTGATGAAAAAAGGAAAATCTTTAGGCTTAGCAGCTGTTGGTCAAACAAAACAAGCACTTTGAAAACAAGGCATTGGAATCTGGGAAAGAGACATTTTAACCTTCTTGGGGGGGGGGGGGGGGGGGATTTTAATTGGTGAACAATGTACTTATCAATGAAAAGAGACACAAAAAACATTGGCCGCAGCTGTATAGTAAGGTAATGTTAAGGCATACTATACAGTATTTCAAAAAGCCAGATAATTTGATGTTAACTGAATGGAGTGCATACACAACAACAACAAACGTATGAGAAGCACACAATTATAATTAAATCTTGTTTACAGAAGTTATTATAGTCGTTAACTGCAGGCAAACTAGTAGTCAGCAACTCCCCACCTGTCTATGTCGACTTTTAGAGTCTTGACAAGAGGCAACGGCATATTGACAGTTAAACGATAAACCATATAAAAGAGAAATAAACATGTTTTTACGCATGCAATTCACTTTGTTGGTCGGTATTGACATCAAATGAAACTGACATTAGCTAGGTGGCTAAGAAGCCAATCGAGCAACACGGAAACGACAAAAACAATACAGTTTAATGTAGATTAGTTTTACAATTCACAGTGCTAACTTCACAGTGTAATGACATACTAAACTGATATCAGATGACAGGTCGAAGGTGACTGCAGACATTAGAAGCACTGGCACACGGAAGTCACTCGACTTGGTATCTTAGCCAACATGCTAAGTAGCTAACTACTGACTATTTCCTGGAACTCAAACTTTCCCAATACCGTTTCATCTACTGACAAAGCACGTAACGTTAATCGTGTGGATGTCTCATAATGTTATACCTACACATATCAAAGATGTGCAGGTATTCCACATGAGATCAACATTAAAATACTGTTACTGTCTTCATGTCACTGCAGCTACACAGTCTGATTTAACCATGCTTTCCGGTAAATAGACGCAACCAATACTAGCTAGCCAGCAACAGGATGATGACACTGGAAAACAACACTAACTAAAGGCTTTAATGAACGGTTAGCCACATCACTGAGCAACTCATACTTAAGCAACACTTCCTTGATATATTGTCAGCATAATTTTGAGTACTTACATGATCTGAGTTGCTGTTGGCGCTGTGATAACACACAGAACTAAAAGTATAACCTGAAATGGATGCCGCCATGATGGAAACATCCCTATCAATCCCAGCGCCCCCTGCGGTTGCAGGCACGCTCCTCCAACGCAAAGTATTCTGGGAACTGTAGGCGACGAATGACAGTCTCCTCCTAACCAGCATGGAAGTCCCTACTGAAAGCGTGGAACAGAAAAGTGGAAATGCCTCTGACCCAGGGGACGACAGATGTTCGGATAACGATTTTGGACCTTCAATACTCGGAACGAAAGAGTAGTAAGTGTTGTGATCATTTACTAACGTGAACTAATGATGGTTGGTTAATCTCACCAGGCTTCACAGCTAGCGTTAGCATAGCTACAACATGCACAAACAGAGCTAGACGTGCAACATCTGGTGTCAAGAGCAAGTAGAACATTATATTATTTTAGCTATAAAGCAAGCGCTGTTGACAGTCAGATGTGTAGTTCTTGTTTATTGGAGATTTATAATTGTAATTGGGTTGTCTTGTGGTTGTCCTTAAAAAGTAAGACCGGAGCTACAAAAACATTAGCATATTATACACTTATTTTAACCTTTAAGCTACTCTACTTACGTTCATTGCACTAGTTTGTCATTTTCCAAAATAGCAACGTGCATGTGAATAGTATGTGATTAACGGATTGTCAACTTCTGTCCTTTTCCTGCAGTTGGGAAGAGGCATACCAAAGAGAACTTGAGACATTCACAGACATTGGGGATGTTGGTGAGATATGGTAATCCTATAAGCAGTATACTGGCATGGTAATTTCTCACAAGAAAGCCAACTTTTCTACTTGTTTTGACAGTACATGCAAAAGTGACATGATGCAAAATGTGAATATGCGTAGTAAGAGCTGTGCCGAATGCATTATTTTTGGTTTCTGACAATAGCCTATGTCTTCACTAATTTATTTGTGTTTCCTTTTTTAAAGGTTTGGTGAGGAGAGCATGAGCCGTGTGCTGCGTTGGATGGACAAAGCTAAGATTCCAGAAGATTCTTCCGTTCTTGACATTGGCACAGGAAATGGAGCCTTTTTAGTTGAACTGGTGTGAACAGAGTACACATGTTTTTATGTTTTTTATTTCATGGGCAGTTAATTAGAGTGTTGTTAAAGGGTCAGGTCACCACAATCAAAAACGAGGTTTGCTTTTATATAAAGAAGTCTATATATAACGTGGGAACACAATTCCAGTGATAACTGTTGCTAATGTAGCTTTTCAGATCATCGTTACTCCATCGTTGTGTAGTACAACGATTCTGCAAAAATTATAGCATACAGTTCAAATAATGACAATTAGGTGATCTGAGCCTTTAATAGATAGTTTGTATATGATAGCTAGTTTTACTGTAATGCCCTCCTTATCAAACTACTTTTATCTTTTCTATAACAGTTGATTAGCATTGTTGTTTAATTGCTGTGTTTTGTTTTTTTTCATGTCAAGGCCAAACACGGATACAGCAATCTGACCGGTATAGATTATTCTCCAGCGTCTGTAGAATTGTCCAGAAATGTTCTGAAGGCAGAGGATTTGACAGATGTCCCTGTAAAGGTGGGTTAATGTATGTTATAACAACACTTTTGGCTGCGACAAATGGATACAGTCTTCACAAGAAAATTAAAAGGATTTGTGGGTGATCAAATATGGCTGTACTTGTTCCACTGGAGCATTCACGCTATGTCAGACTATTATAATTGTCCACGTGTGTTTATGTACTGTTACAAGCTGGCTCCGTTTGTAACAAAAGGAAAGAATATCCAAACAAAAGTTGCCCAAAACAATCATTTATTTATACCATCAAACTGGTCACAACTAACAACTAAACAAACTGAGGAGTGCTGGCCTGGTGCACAGGGCAGGGCAGCCGAGAGAGAGCGAAAGCCTGTTCTGCAGCCCTTAAATCCTCTGGAACCAGGTGCCACAGGTGGGTCTCATCTCTCCTGATTACAGGACCTGACTCTGCCTCCAGACTCTCTGTAAGGAAAAACCCAGGTTACAACAGCACCATACACTGGACAACCACAGGGTTGTCACAGTACTCACGAGTTAAAGTGCCTAACAACCCTGACGATGATATTTACACTTTTTAATAGATTACTGTTATGCTATGTATGTATGTATATATAGTACTTGGTAAACGGCATGAATCACGATTTTCCGCTAAATTTAAATTCACTCAATGTAAGTGCTGCAACGAAAGATCGTAGTGTATCTGGTGGATGTTATACCATGCACAAACCACTCATTGATACAAAATGATTTCCCACTATTCCCAAATGCCAAAGATGCAATATAGCCTTCAGCATAGCGTGTGGCAGCCTGGGAAGGTTAGAGGAAACTCTCCTGTGTTTACTATGTGGGAGAGTTGGATAGGAAGAAGTCCCTGGATGCGATGGAAGTCTGCCGTCCATTCAGGATAAACCACCAGAAATGAATTGGCAGGATTTCACACATCTTTCTAACATATATATGCAAGAAAAACAAGGTAAAAACGCTGGTCGGTCTATAAGGGATATGATGAGTGAGTTTTCCTCTCCTATGTGCATAATACAGATGAATATATATGTTATGCATCACGCACCTATGACTGTGTGCTTTGCTTGGACAGAAAGGCTTCTTCTGAAGTCAATATTGACCTTAGCCGGACAGAGGCAGCACAGAAGTTGTATGAGTGTGTGTTTGTGTGTGTTAGAGAGATGGTATGTTGGTATTTCTTTAATGCTGCAGCATGGCAAAATAATGTGTGTATGTGTTAGTGTGCATGAATGGAGTTAAGAGTTGCAGCCACATGATTCTTTGACAGGTCTTACTTCAAAGGTCATTCTTTGTCTCTAATCTGTCAAGCCATTCCTCCATTTACATAATTCTCCACCTTCTGCTCCTTTGACACATGCATTCCTTCAACACATTCACAGTTTTCCATTTTACAGCCTCACACTCAAATTGAACTCGCACTTTGCAACAATACATAAGCATTTCTGTCTCTAGTGAATCACTGTTGATCGTCTTTCATAAATCACACATTTTGTGACCCATGGTTAGTGAGAATGTAGCTCTTAAAGTCACCCCGGGGATCTGGTGCTCTGCCCTCTGCAGATAAAGGACTCCTTTCACTGGTGGTATGGTGGGTCAGCAACCTCCACTGAATTAACCGCTGTCATGTCAGCAGTTGGAATTTACTTTTAAAGTTGACCAGTGAGTTATCACACATTGCATATTATTTACCCTACACATAAAGAATAACGTTTAGGGTGTTCTTTCTATGATTGATCAACAGGTATACTTTTTCTTAATTTCTCACTTTGTACTCTGTATTTTAGGAGATGGATTTCTTAAACTGCCAAGGGGAGCTAAAGGGTTTTGATGTCTGCATTGACAAAGGAACATTCGATGCAATAAGCTTAAACCCGGACGACTCCACAGACGGCAAAAAACTCTATGTCCAAACTCTAAAAGAGGCTGTCAAGGACAAAGGATTCTTCGTTATCACTTCCTGTAACTGGACAAAGGAGCAGCTGCTAGAGCGATTTAGTGAAGGTGAGTGGTAAATTACTGATCATTTATTCGTTACATTATGTTAAATGTTGTTAATTAATTTATGAGAGGTGCTTAGGATTTTTGTAATCACATAATGCAGTTCTCTAACAGTCATAAAAGGCACTGCCTCTCCAAAAACCAACTCAATTACACAGGTAATTTACTGTAAACCTGATCCTTTTAATCAGACGTTTAAAAAATCTAAATCACTAGTTCAAATCCTTCCTAATGCAGTTTTGATTCAGCCTTGGCATTGCTCAAGCAGTTTCTAGTTCATTATTTTCTGTCTACCTGCAGCATTTTAATCGTCTGTTTTGAGTATCCCAAAAGATCAGTACTTTGGTATTCTGTCTCTTAGAGTGTCAGCTACTGTTGTTCAAAAGGGACACCCACTTTGGCTAGCAATTGAAGCAATGAAGGAGCTTTGGGTCAGATTCAGAGAAAAAAGGGTCCCATGTTAGACAATAGCTAAACAAAGTGGACTTTTCATTGATACAAGGAGCCTGTAAATATGTGTAAAAACTTACCCTGGTTGATGCTGTTCTGGCCAACATTGCCTTTAGTTAAGAGGTAAGGGATATTAAAAAAACAACACACAAACATAGCCCCTCCTTTTGGAGATTTGACATATAAGTGCACTCTTGTGCTACAGTACAATCTCGATAGCTACTTGATAACATGCCAAGATATGCAGCAATATACCAACCAAGCATGGAAAAAAGATTAACTAGCAAACACGGCTATAAACAATCCTTGATTTGAAATACTTTCAAAAAAGCTTTGCCAATATTTTGAAGGAAGAAAATACTTTCTGTTTGAGCTCAAGAATACACACAATGTGTTTTGGTGAGTAACGCCAAATGTATATAACTTTTGTTTATTTACAAGAAATGTCCACTGGGCACCTTTTTAATTGGATATGTGCCGTATTGTATATCGGTTAAATAAAATGGGAACACTTTTTGTCTAACCCGCAGTCAAAAACGCAGACACGGTTAAACAGCTGCTCCAGTTACCTGGCAGGTTGTTAAGCTGCAGGCAACAACAGCCTTGTAAAGTCAGAATTTGGGCAAGCTTCCATTAGCTGTCACTCCTCTCAGTGTAGTCACTCCAGAGAGCCTGCAGGGGGCCAAAGGGCCTTGAAATCTCATCCGTCACACTGACAGGCTGTCTTTACAGTGTCCCAGGAAGCACCACAGATGGTGGATGGATAGTTATTGACTCCCAGTTCTTCTTCTAAACCCGCTGTAGCCCTAGTCCAACAAGAAAATGTTGCTGTTCCGGTAGTTTGGCATTTCTTAAACTGCACATTTTCTCTCTGTTTTCTCACAGGATTTGAGTATGTACAAGAGTTGCCTACACCTAGTTTTCAATTTGGAGGAAAGACTGGCAACAGTGTGACAGCACTCATCTTCAAGAGAGTACATTGATTCACAAGTCCCCGGAGGATATTTTATTTTGCCATCTATTCTGTCAATCATAGGAAATCGTTCATTCATTTTTTTTTATAAACAATGTGTTATGTAGCAGATGTACAATGTAACTTAGTGGGACATTTTTCTTTAAATAAATATTTTTTGTTTTGTTCTTGTCCTCCTTCTTGCATTCATCCTCAGAACTTAAGGAACCTGTTAAATATATTCATTTAGTTTGTTATACAGTTTTGCAGTTAATGTTCTTGCTTTCAAGAGACTTCCATATGTGAACTCCTTACCCTCTCTCAGATGACACTTATTTGACTGTAATATTACTTTCCCGAGGCTAACTGTAGTCCTATTTCAGCCATAATATTATTCAGTCTTTTGTTTGTTGGATATGTTACCCCCAGGGGAAAACATCTATTTTGTTTTCATTTTACAGAAGGGAAACTAGATACACAATATGTACAGATCATTTATTCCCTATTCAATAAAACATCTGATAGCCCCTCAAGTTACTTTGCGAGGAACATGTTGAGAGGACTGACAGTTTGAAAACCACTGTTCTCTGTTACCAGGTAGTTAATTGCATCCATATTTCATGTCATGTGAAAAGTAACCCATACATCATTGGTTAAACTAGAAACCAGCAGAGCTTGGGGTCCTGAGGACCATGATTAAAAACGTCTGACCTAAAGAATAAACAAGAGGCCAATCTTTGTGGAAGAGAAGCCTGTCTGCCATTTCCTTTCTCTATGGCGTCATTAATATCTGTCAAACTCAGGATCCTAATTGCAAGCTGTGCCAGTGGTCCAATGGGAGCTGTGGATGTTGAGACACGCTGTTGAGTAAACACATGCAAGCTTTACAAGAATTACTGCCTGGAATTTTACAAGGCCCTGGATATCCTGCCTGTATGTGCATATCATGCCCACATTCACAACTCACAGACATTTTCCCATGAATTGAAACCTCCATTCAATATGTTGTCCTTTAGCTTTATCAAAGTTCACTCTAATTAAAAACAATTCATCTCGTTCGGCTGATCTTTGAGTGTTTTTATTGTATTATTAGTTATTAAATGAACTGAAGTTACCTTGGTAAATGCACTGCTGCCTGCTCAGTTTCCCTGAACAGTTGCTGTTGTTAAGAAATAGACTACACCACAATCCTGTTTGCCTTTGTAAAGTCATCCGTTTTTTGAGCAGTTTTCAAATACAATAAACAGGTTGGTTCAGTGCCATATGAAGTGGCCAAACTTTACAAGTAGGCGGGTCCACTCCTCAGACCAAATCCTGCTTAGGACCCCCAGGCATGGCCCTGACTGAGACACGCTGTGCACTGTAGATTTATTCAGGAAGTCAAACTGGCTTTCTTACAAAATGGGCTTATTTGAATTAAAGCGGACATTGGAACTATTTCATCTTTACAAATATTGTATTACCATTCACAATAAAACGGTGGATCTTGCTGGGTTGCACTGAGCTGTTACCACCGTCAGCACTTATGGCTTTTGGGTTGGCATAAATGTGAAGCTACACTTTTATTCCACTCATAATATCAACCTATAATGGTTTCAGACGTGATGCCATAGCCCACTGGCTGCCCTACCAGTGTGAATACCATGCTTTCATTTTAACCTCTCAAGTGTGTACTGCAAATATTGATGTTTTTTCTCTCCCATCTCCCTGGAAACATGTTTGAAGTCTTTCTAATAGGATTTTACTTGGATTGATTGTTAATCGGTTTTACTTTTTTCGGCACATGTCTGGGTCATTGTTTTAGTTTGTTTTACGACTACAACAGGGACGGGAAGAACCACGAGGCATGGTAGGATATTGTGTGTGCTTGGTTAATTCGTGTAAATGTAGTTTTCTTTGTAATACTGGGATGTCAACGCCTATTTGCTTCGATAACATCAAGCATAATACAAAGTAGCACATGTGTATTGTAAATGCCTGAGGGAGAACCACAGTGGAATATACCAACTCGGGAGAGGTGGGGCTGTTTGTTTCAAATAAAGTTTTGAGATGTTCGTTCAAACGCACTTGAACTGTTTGTTGTGTTCAGTTAATATAAGTATTACTTAGGGAATATTTTAATGTAGAGTAACATAGTACTCGGTGCTGAACAGGTTTCTGAGTCGGTCACCGTTTTTCCTGCCTCCCCCGTCCACATGGTTTGTCTGTACGCGGATATTGTTACAATGACTGCTGAAGGCTGAAAGAAGCAGCGAGCTCTCAGCTGCTCGCAGTCCGGTCAGTCCTGCGCTGGCGACGCTGAGCTGTCGGCTGCAACTGCGAGAAACTTCTGGTGATTTTGCTCTCGCATTCCCTTTGTTGAAGATGAGCTAACTTTAAAACAGCCTCTGCTGGCCAGGTAGGATATTTGTTGGGATACATGATCGTTATAACTGTGTTGATGTGTGCATCATTATTTCCCTGCTGTGGAGTTTATAGGCTACTTTGTCTGTTCATGCTGGGGTTCCTCTTCGACAGCATAGGTTACATTGGGGCATTCATCAGAAAACAGAAATGTCGTTTTTTGTTGAACAACTTATTATGGTGTTCAGCCCAAGTATCTGCTACCATTAAGCCAGAGTAGCCACAGAAATGTGCACTTTGTGCCATGTGGCACACGTTGAAGATGTCACATTATGTCCAATGTTTTTATTACAAGTTTTTTTTTACTAAATCAGCTATTGTAGAGTTTGGAAATCAAATTCCTTGCCCAGCCTGGCAAACCTGTTGCTTCATTCAAAGTTACTGCTTAATAACCTGCCGTAGAGGGAACTGCACACATTAACCAAGCTCTGTGGGCCAGCAAACTCCCCTCCATCTATCACTTATGGTAATAAAGCCCAGGCTGTTGTCACAGTACCTGTGTAGGTGGCGAGAGAGGCAGTGTGGGTGCCTTGCAGCTCATATTGACATACAGCTCCTCACCACAACCGGTAAGAAGAGATTGAGTGCAGCTTGAGGGCTTTGAGTCATAGGGCCTGGTTGCATATCTCTCACCAATCTCAACCACATACTTTTTTCCGTCTTGAGATCTGTAATTACTGATTGCCGTGCTTTTATGAGCATAGTTTATTCTTTTTCATGCTAAAGAGGTTTAAACTATGAGCTACTTTGTTTCTCATCAATCTGGTTTCTGTTCTCAGAGCAAAGCTATAAAGCTGCATCCTTGGAGTCCAATCAAAATATACACTGTTTATAGTACATTTGTATGACTATTTGGGTTGTACACCCTGAGTTATTGTTATTACACATATATGAAACTAAAACTGAGTTTCCCCAAGTTTATAAATACTGATAAAAACATAAACAATAAAGTAAATTGTCTTTTTATATCTATGGGTGGATGTATTGCTGGCTTTGTGTCTTTTGAACAGCACCGGTTCATTTCAGAACTTCTTTATTGCCTTCTAAGCACTTTGAATAAGAGCACTATTGATACAAGGCACTACTCTTGTTATGTGTCAGTGTTGTTTCCTTTCCTCTGTGGGTTAGGAAGTAACTGTTGGTTTCTTTATGTTTTGCCCTCTCGAAAATTGCACGGCAGTTTGTTGATCTTTGTGGACACCATAAACACAATACCATGGAAAACTGGTTTGGTACCAGGGTTCCCTAATTGAAACTACCTGGAAATGTTTCTTGCTGCCACCATGGCAGCGGTAGTCCTTGACTTGAGGGGATTGCTGGCTAGTGTGGTTAACTAAACAGGAAATGACTGTAGTTTTTCTCAAGAATCCTGCTCAGAAAATGCTGGAGTTCAGGTTGGAGGTGAAGTAGACTCGGCTTAAAGATTAATTCACATGTCAGCTCTAGTCACTAATTACAAAGGGAGTGTTGATAGATGCATTACTGGATGAGGAGGCTTGTTCTGAATATTTTCTGATCTGCCTTTTTTTTGGAAGATTATGGTAACCACACCTGGCTTTGATTTTAGAAGATAAACAACAGCTTGATTACAGCTTGGTGACCACAAACACATTTTATCTATCATATGAACCTGCAAATGTGTTATTTGCTGTAGCTGTCAACAACGGCATACATATCTATTCCAATACGTATGTTTCAAGGTTTTTATCCTTGACAAATATAAACATCTGTTTACCCTTTTTTAATCTGAATTATAATCGCCAAAATCCAAACGCATTATCATTTAGTGTTTAATACGGCCACACAACAAACCAAAGCCCTTTGAATAAAATGCGTCTGATATATTCACACATCAACTATGTCAGATGAAAGTGCTTTTATGTAATGTAATGTAAGGCAGTGTTGTGGGAACATTCAGTCTTTTTCTATAGAGGTTTGATAACTTGTGCAATATATGAAAAAATAAGAAGTAACAAATTCTCATCACAGTTGCTGCTAATCACTTTTAGCTTTTGATGTTTTAAGTGAAGCACAACTTTATGCACTGCAATTGTACTCTTCGACAAAAGGGCTTGCACTGTTGGTCTGTAGACTTGTTTTGGACAAACTATAGGCATAATTTATGGAAGCAATTAAGGCCAGTGGGTTTTTAAAGGGGATTGCTCTGCACTCCAGTGTGTGCTTAAGACGCGCACATTTGCAACGTCTTTGTGTTGCAGGCGAAAGGCCCTATTAGAGCTCCATTCTGTCTGTGGGCAGCTGTGTGCTGAGCGAGCCTCTGGTCCATTCTCCGTCTGTGTGTACGACTCCCTCAGTCCATACACACTCTGCCACTTTCCACTCTGTCAGTTTCTTTCTTTCTGACTTTCTGTAGATTTCAATCTCACTTTTTGCGTGTTTTTTGCTTCATCTTTCTGTTCAACTAATACTGTGGCTCTTTTTCTTTCACTTGTTCCCTGGCCCAAGGCATTATGCAAAGCTACCAGAAAAGGATTGTTAGCCTTGCCTCTCTGTGCTTCCATGCTACTCTCTATTCACTTCTGAAGCTTCCCTTTCTTCTCCGTGACCTGCAATCATAACTGCTTCACACACACTTAAATTCATACCGCTTGGCTTCAGGGAGTTTAAAACAAATACTTTATTATTTCACATTTTCACCATACTTGTTATCCCTCATTTTGTATATTCCTTCCTCATTAACATGATAGATTTGTAAGTCTGGCGTCTCAACGCCCACAGAGCCAAAGACCTGCAGCTGAAAAGAAAAGAAAAGAGGCATTCTCACATACACCAGAGAAGCACTCCCCCAACCCCCAAAGACAGGCACCACACTCTAGATGAAAAGCATTCTGGGATGCAATAGGAAGGCTCCCATCAACACACCCACTGTGGTTTTCCTATGTGGCTATAGTGAGAAATCAACTTTAACAAAAGAAGAAGTTTCCTCTGCTGTTGCGTTTTGACTCTAAATGAGACTTTATATCCCCAGGGTCTTGGTTTTATTAGCATCTCTGTTTATTTTCCTGTGCTGCTTTGGATTGGCTTTTCCATCAAATGTCAGATGTCACATAGCTCCTGGCTGAATCATGTTGTACGGATATGGCATTGAAACAGTCTGAAACTATCCCTAAATTGAATCTCTAGAAAAAACGAGAACTGAAAGCTTCTGTTGGTGTTTGGCACAGACGGCCTGTATTTTTAGAACCTGTTTTCCAAACTTGTGGCAAACCTTACATGTCCTCCAAGTTGTAGGACTTTTACAGTTAACTGCAATATATTTTCCTCATACAAAGACAACTAATATGTAACATCCTTCGTGCTTTCTATGCAAGCCTAGGCCTGAGAACAGAGTCAATGTGTCTT